GGAATGGATTCACTTGGAAGACAGGAGCCAATGGCCCAAGAGAACCAGACAACAGAAGCCCCTAAAGTTCAGCCATTCAGATGGCAGAGGCCAACTCAAGTAAGCAAGGGGCACAGATGGGCATTTGCACACCAGAGGTCACCCTAGACAGCTAGCCAGACAACAGTGGACTTCAGGGTGGGTTTGGACAGATGGGACAACCAAATGGTGCCGGTAGGAAGGCTGTCCAGAACGGATAAACAGCTAACCAGACGGTAGAGAAGGTTCCAGATAAATAACCAGCCTGACACAGACCCCAGGGGTCATTCATGCCCCATGAACGGCTGGGTGACAAGTGTAGCTTCAGCAGCACGCACACTAAGATTTCCAGGTAGCAAGAGAAAAGAGGAGTGGATCTATCCCGGATCACAGGCAAAGTGATGTCAGAATTCACCAGTGATAGTTGAGACTAAAAGCACCAAGAAGGGTCTGCATTGACCGTCCTGCCCCAAACCTAACGCACTCTCACTGGGCAGTCCCTGACCTGGGTCTGCATCTCCAGTCCCTGCGGAAAGCCACAGAGACTCTTGCCCCAGACCTTACCCACTGCCACCGGTCCTGCGACGTCCGCGAGCCGCAGTTCCGCCATTCTCCGCCCGCCCTCCGCGCCCTAGGCCGCCGCCCGCCCTCCCCGCCGGAGCCTGGGAACCGCCGCCGGCGCGCTCGCTCACCGGCCCACGAAGTTCTCGAGCACCGAACTCTTGCCTGCGCTCTGGCCGCCCACCACGGCGATCTGCGGCAGGTCCAGGTGGCAGCTCTGGCCGATGGAGCTGAAGGCGTCCTGCAGCTTGTTAACCAGCGGGATGAGCTCTTCCATCCCGCGGTTGCCCATGGTGCCCGCCTCCGCCCCGCGGCTCCCCCGGCTACGACACGCGACCCCGAGGCGTCTGTGGCCGTTGCTTCCTGCCGCTCCGCTCTGCCAGCCCGCCCGGGCTCCCCTTCGCCGCGACGCCCGCTCCCGGCTCGGCCTCACAGTCGCCGCCTCATCCGGTTCTCAGGCGACACCCGACCCGAGCGACCTCCCCGCCCAGCCTCTGGGGCGGAGCCCGAATCCCTAATGCTACCTTCAATTGGTCAAGAATGCTGCCACTCAAAGATGCAAGCCAATAAAAAAGACACGAGGAAGGGCTGGTCTCACAATTTCATTGGGTTGTAGAAGTGTCAGTAATATTAGAAAACCAATAGAAGTGAAAACCGGGTTGTCACGCCCGGAAGGCGGGGTCTCGTGAAGACACCGAGGCCTCTGCTCCCTAGGCTGATCTGGGTTGTCCTATTGGTCTCTGGAAACGTCAGCCTGCCAATGATGTAAGGAATCCATCCTTAAACACTGGTTTGTCACTTGACATTAGTTAGTTCCGTAAAAGTTTCTCATTGGTTGGTATAAATATCACTTCGTTCCTCCAACCAATAAGAGAGAAGAGAGCCGCAACCCTTTTTTTCTGCTGTTTCTGAACCATTGGCTGGCCACAAACTCGAGGTGATCCTCCTGCCTCGGGCTCCCTCCTGCTAAGATTACACATACTGATTTACAGCCGTGTCTGTCCGTCATAGGAATTCTTCCCAGCTTTCCTGGCTTTTGTTGTCAGTTTGTGATATTCTCTTTAAGCAAAGAGCCACAGTACTCAGGAAGCGCCACACCTCATGGTATGGTTCCGTTGACAGTCACGCAAGCGTTCTTAAGCGCTGGAGAAAACTTGTATCTTAGAAAGGGTCACAGACTCCAGCTCTGGAAGAGTCCCAGTGCCAGTGGAAGATGAGTCTCATAGAAGGCTGTGAGTGTGGTTATTTGAACCCACTTGTTCGTGCGTGCATGTTCCTGAATGTTCATAGGGATTAAGTCTAGGGCCTCATGAAGCTAACTAAGCAAGTGTTTTGCCAGTGGTTACAACCCTAGGCTTATTTTTACTTTAAAAAAAAAAAAATTGCTCCTAGAGAGATGGTTCTGTGGTTAAGAGCACTTACCCGCTTTGCAGAGAACCCGAGTTTGGTTCCCAGAACCCTCATGACGGCTCACAACCATTAGTAATTCAGTTCCAGGAATCTGACATCCTCTTCTGGCCTCCACCAGGATCAGACACAAACATGATGCACCAGCTTACATCCAGGCAAATCACCCATGCACATAAAAAATTAATTTTATGCAAATATATCTTTTAAAAATTTACATAAAATAGCATTTTAAAGAATTTAAAGATTTTAATTTTATGTGCACCACGTAATGTGCCTGGTGTCCACAGAAGTCAGGAAGCGTCAGATCCCCTAGAACTAGAATTTTGGATGGTTGTGAACCACAATATAGGTGCTGGGAATCAAACCCAGATCCTCCGCAGGAGCAACAAATGTCCTTAACTGTGGAGCTCTCTCTCCAACCCCAAACTTCACTTTTATGCATGTGGTGTTTCCCATACATGTATGTTTTGTTCACTATGTTCATGCAGGGCCCAAGAAGACCAGAAGAGGGCGTCAGATCACCGGGAACAAGTTAGAGTTGCAAGCTGCCCTGTCAGTGCTAACAATTGAACCCAAGGCCTCTGCAAGAGCAACAAGTGCTCTGAACTGCTGAGCCACCTCTCCAGGCCCCTTATTTTATTTTTAATTATGTATGTTGGATGTATTATATGCACATGAGATGAGAAGAGGGCAAGGGATCCCCTGAAGCTAGAGTTAGAAGCATTTGTCAGCCACCTGACTATGGGTGCTGGGAACGGAACTGCAGCCATCTCCAAGAACAGCACTCAAAGCCGTATCTCCAGCCCCCAATTTTTGCACAATTATGAGCCTGTGGTGCACTGCCCTGTGCATGTGGAGGTCATAGTTTGACTTTAGGCATTTCCCTCTCTTATTTTTTGAAATAGGATCTCTCAGAGCCTGGAACTGGTGAATTCAGCTGGAGTAGCTGCTGGCCAACCCTGCCAGGGCTGGAATTACACAGGCTTACCACCCTTGGGTCTTTACTGGGGTGGGATCTGATCCACCCACCCTGGGGTCATCTTAAGGCAGAAGCCAATATTCCACAGTTGTTTCCTTGAACTTTACTACTTTCTAGACCTTCTAATTGCCTACTGGACTCCCTACTCAAATGCATTTTGGAGGAATGGTGGTGTTTTTGATAGAACCTCATTTAGTCAGCCTTGACTCAAAGCTGTCTGTATAACTGAGGATGGCCTTGAATTTAGATCCTCCTGCCTCTAACTCTGAAGTGTTGGGACTACAGGCACCAGCCACCATACCCAGTTTATTATGAACAAAGAGCTCTTCTATATGCCAGGGTCCCAGTCTGTGGTTTTGTTTACTTGAGTCACAGTCTGTATAGCTCAGGCTGACCCTTACTATGTAGCCCAGGCTGTCCTGGAACTCCCAATCCTCCTGCCCCAGCCTCTTCACTTTAGGGATTATGGCCATGCACCACCATGCCAGGATGAAACTATTACTCAATAGTAATTTGATGCTTCTAGCCACAGATGTGCCTGAGGCGCAATGGACATTCTGGAAAGCAGCTGACAGAAGGTGGTACGGGAGTTCTGCTAAAGCTGTGAGAAAGGGCGATAGAGGAAAAGACTTAGCTATAAAGAGAAAAAGAAAAAATTCAGAGCATTGAAGTCCACTCTCTTTTGCCTTATTGGCCAAAGGAATGAGATGATGATGATGATGTGTGTGTGTGTGTGTGTGTGTGTGTGTGTGTAAACCAGTGGGAACGTAGAACTTTCAGGAAATAGGCAGTATCAATGGAGAAGCCATTGTCTAAGGAACATGACTCAAACGCTTGGGGTTATAGTTGGCACTTGGTGTTGCAGACTTTATCAGAACAGCAGGAGTTGGCTGAATAATATTATATGGCAACTATAAAAAAATGCATAGGATTGGGGATGTGACTCTGGGCACAGTGCCTGTCTACGATGCCTTGGGTTTGGTCTCCAGCACCACATGAACCAGGTGTGAGAGCGCATACCTGTGATCCCAGCACTTGAGAGAGAAACAGATGAAGACAGAGATTCAGGGTCTTCCTAAAGAGTATAACAAGCGCCGGGTAGTGGTGGCGCATGCCTTTGATCACAGCACTCTGGAGGCAGAGCCAGGCGGATCTCTGTGAATTTGAGGCCAGCCTGGGCTACAGAGTGAGATCCAGGACAGGCACCAAAACTACACAGAGAAACCCTGTCTCGAAAAACCAAAACCAAAACCAAAAAAAAAAAAAAAAAAAAAAAAAAGAAGGAAGGAAGGAAGAAAAAGAAAGGGAAAGGAAGAAAGGAGCTGGAGAGATGGCTCAGCGTCAGGAGCACTGACTGATCTTTCAGATTTCCAGCCCCTCACAGCTGCCTGTGACTCCAGTTCCAGGGGATCCGACACCCTCGCACAGACATATAGGAAAGAAAGAAACAAACAAAAAACCCCAATGCATATAATATTAATTTAAAAAGAAGAAGAAAAGAAAATGGCTGTGCACACCTTTGATCCCAGCACTCGGGAGGCAGAGGCAGGCGGATCTCTGTGAGTTCAAGAGTAAGTTCCAAGATCGCAGGGCTGCACCGGGAAACCTTATCTCCAAAACAAAAACAAACACACAGAAAAGGAGCCCTGAGTCTTGGGCTGCACCTGGCGGTTCCTATCACTCCACTGGTGCTCTGGTTACTTCTTGTTTTGTTTGTTGAGAAAGGGTCTTACTCAGGCCCCGGCTGGCTATGAAACCAAGTTAGCCTTGAACTTGCAGCTGTCCTACAAGGACTGCCTTCCTAGAGCTAGGATTACAGCTGAGAGCCGCCAGATTAACCTTTCCGGACTCTGCCTTTCTTTCTCCGTCCTGGATCACTCAGGGCCGCCTCACGCATACCTAACCACTGGGCTCTCCTGCACTCCCTATGTTACTTCCTACGAAGAAGCAGCAAGACATCCATCTACAGTGAAACTTGGGACCAGGAAGAAGACAGACAGGCCACCTTCCCAAGAAGACACAAGATCTCAGATGAAAACAAAAAGCAGTAACAAAATCTTTTTAAAAGAAAAACCCTTCAGTATCCCCCATGCCCCAGCGTCCCTCCCCGGGCAACCAGGTCATGTGAGTGTGATTCCCACGGAGGCCAGTGCTTCAACGGCCCAGGCAGGACACAGGCTGTGGTCACCATACATGGTGCGCATGAAGTTTCGCACAAAGTCAGGAAAGCGCTGCTCCAAGATGCTGCTCCGAAGGGTGCTCAGCAGCTGCAGCTGCGGGGGAGGGCACCAGCATCAGTCCCAGGAGTACCCACAAGGCACCAGGTGTGCCAAGAGTGCCCCCACATCATAAACCCAAGGCAAAGAGAGACAGGTCATGTTTGAGGGACCTGTCCATGTTTGAGGGACACCCTCTAGATGAGGCACCCCCAAAAGGTCCTTAGGGCCCAGACTCATTACACCCCCAAAGAGGGAACCCCACTTGAGCCACAGATCTACACCACACCCTCAAATAAAAAGGAGCCATGCTATGCCCCTTCCCCCACCAGCCTCAACTAACTCTGTTCTCAGAGCCAAGACCCTCCCTCCCTGCCTGCCCCAGGGCCCTGCCCAGGCCACCTGGTAGGCAATGTTGTGCACGGTTAGGTGGTGCAGGGCTGCGGTGTTGTCGCTGTGCAGCAGGGCGTGCAGGAAGGCGCGGCTGTGCCTGCGGGTCACATAGTTAGAGGCTACACAAGCCTGAGCCCCCTCCCCTCTCCAATCCCCACCTTCCAAGACCTACTTCCGGCAGGTGGGACAGGGACACTCGGAGTTTATGGGACTGAAATCCTTGGCGTACTGCTGCTTCTTCAACTGCAGGTTCCCAGTGGGCACAAGAGCGGAGCCAAAGCGCTGAGGACAAGGAAGGTCAAGATCACGAGGGGCATGGGCTCCCAGCCCCTCCCGTCCCCTGCCCGGGCCTCACCGCTGTCCGTGTGGGGTACACACAGTCGAACATGTCACATCCAAGAGCCACGCAGACTACCAAATCGGTGGCATAGCTGGGGTGCAGCCGTGAGGGTGAGGAGCAGAGAGTCAGCCTCAAGAGAAGGTTTCCCAGGCTTCCCTCCACCCCCAAGTGGACCTCAGACGACAGTCAAGTGTTCTCTTTTATCTATTTTTGTTCTAAGACTGTATTTTACATTGCCCAGGCTGGCCTTTACTCCCTACATAGTTGAGGATGTCCCAGAACATTGTTTACATCAGGCAGTAGTCTATGTGACCGCTTCATTAGCTCCCCAGTAATGCTATTCCCTTCTTCCCAAAAGGGAATGGGAACCCCAGGATCTGCCCCCCACAGCAGGGCTCAGGGCTCTGTCTCCTCCGCCCCAACATACCCAACCCCCATCAGGTATCTCGGCTTGTCCTTGGGCAGCATGGAGGTGCTTAATGCCACCATCTTCCAGAACTGTGCCTTGCTCTCTCCCCCACTCAGACCTCCAATGGCGAAGCCCGGCACATCCCTCTTGGTCATCTCTGAAAGAGCAGGTGGCCCCAGCTTAGGAGGATTTAGGATTTTGTGACTTTACAAAAAGTTAGGAGTATATTCTAGTCACAAGGCTAGGTTTCTTTCAGTACAGCATTCCACTAACTTACCATAAAACCAAGCCTTGAGCCAGGCATTTGGATCCACCCTGGAATCCCAGCCACTCAGGAGACTGAGGCTGGAGGATCAAGAATTTGTCACCAGTCTGGGCTACAGAACCAGTCCCGCAACAGCATGGTTACATAAAGAAGGAAGGAGAGGGTGGGAGATGATGGGCCAGAGGTTAAGAGCACTGCTGTTCTCTCAGGGGTACCAGGTTCGGATCTCAGCACCCACAGGGCTCACAGCCATCTGTAATTCCAGTTCCAGGAGACCCAACACCTTCTGGTCTTCTTGGGCTCTGCATATATATGATATACATACATGCAGGAAAATATTCATACACAGCAAATAAAAATGGTTTTTGCTAGGCATGGTGGCACATGCCTTTAATCACAGTATACCTAGGGCTGCTATGTGAGAGACCATGTCTCAAAAATTAAATAATTAGGGGGCTGGAGAGATGGCTCAGAGATTAAGAGCACTGGCTGCTCTTCCAGAGGTTCTGAGTTCAATTCCCAGCAATCACATGGTGGGTCACAACCATCTATAACGAGATTTGGTGCCCTCTTCTGATGGGCAGGCATACATGCAGGCAGAACACTATACATAGTAAGTAAATAAATCTTTAAAAAAATTAAATAATTCATTTCAAAAACTCTAAGAAACAAAGACTAGAGATAGGAAGAAAGAAAGGGTGTGTGTGGTAACAGTTTCGGCTTTACAGCCTCAAGAAGGACTAGGATGTTCAGCAGTTTGATGTGGTAAACCCATTTTAGGCAGGGGTGCAGCTAAGTGGTAGAGGGTTCTCCTACGGGGCAAGACTCTTCAGTCTTACCACCAGCAAATGTCCCAAAGCAAATCCAGTTTCTGACAATAGTCTTTTCAACTCCGATGGGTGTTACCATCTGAAAGGTCTACCACACTTAGTCCCTAGGAAGGACCCTGCCCTGACAGACAGACACCAGGGAGGGAGGGGCAGAAGCAAAGGGTACTGCTGGGGACCTAAGCTGCCACTGCTGAATGCCTACTGACTGAACGCAAGGCTCACTTTTATTATATTATTTATGTATTCACGGGACACGAAGGCATCGCACAGTGGTCAGAGCACAACTTTCCGAGTCTGTGGGTTCCAGGGACCAAACTGAGCTTGTGAGGGTTGGCAGCAAGCTTCTTTTTATCCATTCAGCCAGCTCACAACCCAGTGCTCTCAACATTGATCATCAGAAGAGGCCCATAGCTGAAAGCCAAGTGTATCCCCAAATTTACCATTTTCTAGAAACAAGATTCCAAAGTCAAAATACTAATGCACCCCTGGGACCCTAGCACTCAGGAGACGAGGCAGGAGAATCGGGAATTCAGGGCCGCCCTGAACCCTATGAGAAACTGGGGAAGAGCTGTGACCCAGCAGGTAGTGGGCTTGATTAGTATGCATGAAGCCCTGGGTTCCAGGTCAGCAAGGCATCTTCTGAGCTTGGTGATGCATGCCAGGGATCTCAGCACTCTGAAGTGGAGGCAGGGGGATAAGTACAAGATCATCCTCTACTATACAGTGAGCTCCAGGCCAGCCTGGGCTACATGAAAGCCTGTCATAAGTCAACCTAATATTTCAACAAAATATGTGAAAAGGGCCAGCAAGATGGCCCCGGGGGCAAAGGCACTGCTGCCAGGCCTGGTGACCGGAGTTCCACCCCAGAATCCACACGGCAGAGAGGACTGACTCCCCAAAGTTGTCCTCTGACCTCCATACACACACACACACACACACACACACACACACACACACACACACACACACACACACACGGCGGGGGGAGGGAGGGAGGGAGGTGGGGGGATGGGGGAGCTAAACAATTAGAAAGAAAGATCAACCTGGGTCCAGTATTTGCCTTCATTACTTCCATTTTCTAGACCTGCCCTACTGCACACTGCCTCAAGGCCTTTGGCTCGTGCATCTTGCACTTGTGGCATCCTTTGCCATTTAACAGCTATGGCCAAAGCATCATCCTGTGCCTGGACCAGCCCCACCTCCACCAGTACCTGACTCTACCTTTCAGGCAAGTGGTCCGAAGATCGGCATTCAGTCCACCCTGGATGATGGCAAACAGGTTCTGCTTGTCCCGATGTTTATGGGCTGCGATGCATCTGTCTAGCCAGCGGACCGACCTGCAAGAGGGTCCTAGGTCCCAGAACCTCTCATGGCTAGGGAGACAGCAGGGAACCACAGGGCCCTCTTCCTCCCACGCACGCACACCGCCCACATGCAGACCTGTGCATGGCCTCCTCCACTCGAGGGCCTGTCACCGTGCTGCTCACCACGTCGTCCAGCTGCATAATGATGTCAGAGCCTGAGCGGGAGAGGGCACTCTGGTGAGGGACAAGACACAGAGACCCACGCAGGTACCACCACCTCCTTGCCATCATCCTAATATGGCTGCACAGAAGCTAGGGAACTTTTTTGTTTTCTTTTTTTCTTTCCTTCCTTTTTTTTTTTGGTTTTTTTTTGTTTTTGTTTTTTGTTTTGTTTTTTGGGGACAGGGTTTTTCTGTGTAGCTTTGGAGCCTTTCCTGGAACTCACTTTGTAGACCAGGCTGGCCTCGAACTCACAGAGATCCACCTGGCTCTGCCTCCTGAATGCTGGGATCAAAGGCGTGCGCCGCCGCCCGGCTTGTTTTCTTTCTTACATATACCCTCATGGGCCCGTGAGATGGCTCCACAGGTAAATGTGCTTTCCTCCAGGCCTGACTACCCAAGTTCAACCCCAGGACCCACATGGTGGAAGGAGGAGACTGATTCCTGCAAATGATCACCATGGATCCCAGGCTGTTCTCCAGCTCCCAATCCCCCTGCCTCTACCCCCACTGTGCCCAGCTTTATAGGGAACTGTTGCAATTATACTCTGGAATATGGGGCTATGGCTCAGCCAGTATAGTCCAGCATACACAAGGCTACAGGTTCCATCCCCAGCACTGCATAAAGTGGGTGTGGTGGTTGAGGCCTGTGGCCCCAGCCTTCAGAAGGCGGAGGCAGAAGAATCTGGAGTTTGAAGTTGGGGGCCAGAGTGCTGGCTGCTCTTCCAGAGAACCTGAGTTAGTTCCCAGAAGCCATCTGGCAGCTCACAGCAAGTTTAAAGGAATCTTATGCCCTCTTCTAGCCTTGGTGGCCACATAGTACACAGACATACATGCAGGCCGAATACCTATATACAAAAAATAAATAAAATAGGTAGACATGGTTGGCACAGAAGAAGCAGGAGGATCTCTGTGAGTTCCAGGCCAACCTCGCCTACATAACAAGATCCAGGGCAGTCAATGATATATAGTGAGACCCTGTCTCAAATCCAACAAAAATAAATAAAATAAAATCTTTAAAAATATATTTCGAGGAAAAACAGAATTTAAGGTCATTGTTGGCGACATAGAGTTCGATGCCAGCCTGGACCATGAGACCCTGTCTCAGACAAGATGGAGGCAAGGACTCATGAAGACTCACCTCTGTCTCCTGTGCTTGCTCTGTGGCGCAAGAGCACACACCAAGATACAAATAAACCGCAGTCTCCCTTAGCTTAATGCTCCTTGCTGACAATTCTGACACCCAAAGACTTACCAAATAAAAGGTTTGGAGGCCTGAGGCCATGACTCAGAGGCACAGTCTTGGCTTGGCATGGGTGAGGACCTGGGTTACACCCCCAGCTTAGATAGATAGAGACAGATTTAGATGGATAGACAAAACAGATATAAGGACTGAAGGACAACTAGACAGACAGACTATCCTAGCCTAAAGTCATCTGAGAGAAAAGCCAGCCTTAAGGAATTTCTTAGATCAGACTGGCTTGTGGCCTTATCTGAGACTGTCTTGATGATTGGCTGATGTGGGAGGACCCGCCCTCTAGAAGCAGTGCTCTCTCTGGGCAAAGACGTTGCACTGCATGAAAAAGCCAGCTCTGAGCTGAGGAGGTGGCTTTGTGTTTGAGATCATGCCGTGTTCTTCCTGAGGACCGGACTCGCAGCACCCGGGCAGGCCAGTGCTATCTGTAACTGTAGGTCTAGAGAATATACCACCTCAGGCACCGCACTCACGTGTGCACACAAACACATAAGTTAATATAATAAAAATAAGCCAGGCGTGGTGGTGGCAGCGCACACCTTCAATCCCAGCACTCAGGAGGCAGAGGCAGAAGGATCTCTGTGAGTTCGAGGCCAGCCAGGTCTACAAAGCGAGTTTCAGGACAGCCAGTGCTACACAAAGAAACCCTGTCTCAAAAAACTAATAATAATAATAATAATAATAAATCTTTTTTTTTTTCCAGAGCTTGCTAGGCAAGCGCTCTACCACTGAGCTAAATCCCCAACCCCAATAATAAATCTTAAAGCAAAATAGCTAACTAAGCATGAGCCTGTGAGCAAGCCAGTGAGCAGCGTTCAGCCATGGCTTCTGTCCAAGATCCCGCCTTTACTGCCCTCAATGATCAACTGTGACCTGGAAGCATATGCCCAATCAAAATGAATCCTTTCCTCCTCAACGTGCTCTGCTCAGACTCTCTTATCACAGCTACCGAAAGAAACTAAAACACAGACAGATAGGTGACTTTTATCAGAACCAGATCTAGAGGGTAGAAGTCAAGTCCAGGCCGAGCAACAAAGCTACATTCTTTCTCCAAAAACAAAAACCAAAAAGGCAGAGCCAGGCGTGGTTCAGCACGCCGGTAATCCCAGCAGGAAGAGAGGATCCTGAGCTCCAGCGCGGCCCGCACAGCATAGGGAGATCCTGTATCTAAAATCAAGAACTAGGGCCTTGGTGCAGTGGTAGAGCCCCTGCCTACAATCCCTCAGTGACGGACTAAAACCTGTGAGACGAAATAAACCCTCTCCTCCCTAAGTCGCTTTTGGTCATGATGTTGGCACAAGGCTCCAACATCACTCAAAAGCTATACAGTGCAAATTGTCCTAGCCTGCAGATGCAGCTCAGTGAGTAGAAAGCTTGTGTAGCGTGCCGAGAGCCCTGGGTCTGACCCCCAGATCAGTATAAAACCGGGCATGGTGGCATTTGGCTGTAATTCCACCACTCTGGATGTGGAGGGAGGAGGATCAAGAGTTCAAAGTCAACCTCAGTTAATAAGGCAGTGAGTTCTAGGCCAGCCTAGGCTGTGTAGGACTCTGTCTCAAAAATAAGACAAAATAAAAATATAAACTATATAGATGAAAAAAGGGGGGGAAAAAGAAAAGAAAAAAGGGGCCTACAATAATTCCTATCTCATGTGGTTGCCACTATTATTTCATTAAATTCAATTTGTTACTAAAAACAGTAACAGCTCAACAGCTCGGTGCGCCTTTAATCCCAACACTCCAAAGGCAGAAGCAGGCGATCTCTGTATTTGAGGTCAGCCTGGTCTACTCGTCAACAAACGAGTTCCAGTCCAGTCAGTGCTACATAGTAAGACTGTCCAAAATAAAAACAATAAGTAAATAAAGTAATAACAATATACATACATATGAAACAAAAAACAAATCAAAAAAGGCAGCTACATATCTAGCACTGTGTTCACACTGCTGATATCACGAGTCAGAGATGGGAGCAGGTTCTCACTGGGAAGCCCAAGCAGGCCGGAACCGCAACAATCTTCCCGCGAAGCAGCCACCACGTGCCTTTTTTATGTGTTTGTTTTGCTGTGTTGTGTTTGCTGCGCGGGGACTCCAGCCCAGCACAGGACCTGTTCTTTATCCTCATTCATAGATGTCCCAAACCTCACGCGGCGTCTCCGCCTACAGGCAAGGTGAAGGGGCGATGCGCCAGCCTTCTCTTACCCAGAGCGTTCTGGATCTCCACAGACCTCTCTGGGCTCAAAAGCGTCTCTTGGCCGTCGTAGGGCGAGCGGAAGCGGACGCCCTCCTCGGTCACCTCGGACAGGGAAAACAGAGACACCATCTGGAAGCCGCCGCTATCCTGGGGGGACCCGGCCGCGAAGCTGTCAGGAGATGGAGCCTGGGGGCCCTCTCACCCCAACCGGAGCCCTAGGGCGGCGACCCCATCTCACCGTCAGCAGATTGTGGGGCCAGTGCATGAAGCCGTGAAGCCCCTGGGCCTTCTGGATCAGCTCCGGGCCCTGGGATGCCGGAAGAAAGGGCCGCGTGAGGGGACCGCCCGCAGCTCCCTGGCCAGGCCCCGGGGGAGCCCGCGCGCGGGGCGCCCGCGCCGACGGACCGCATCGGAGGCGTGTCCCGGCCTGGCTGCCCCCTCGCCGCCCACCGCAGGATCGAATCCACCCACCGGCCTCAGCCCCAGGTGGTAGGTGTTGCCCAAGCAGATGCGGCAGCCCAGGCTGTCCAGCTGCTCCGCGGTGATGCCCTTCATGGTGGCCTGTGTTCCCACAGGCATGAACACCGGGGTGGCCACGGTTCCATGAGGCAGCCGCAGCTCGCCCGCCCGGGCTCTGGAGCGACTGCACTCAGCCGCCAGCCGCAGGATGCGTGGAGCGGACTCCAGCGAAGCCGGGCTGCCTGCCGCCGCCATTTCCGGTCCCGGAACCACGTGGGCCGAGACCGCGGAGGGCAGCGCCATGGTGTCTCGGATCACGTGACCCGAGAGCTCCAGGGAACTATGGCAACCGACGCCTACCTCCACCTCACTCCGGGGTGCGCTCCTTCCGGATCCCAGGGCTGTCACTTTCGCTAGGTAATGGCCAGGTGACGGCTCGGCGAGTGGAGATACATGCCGTTAAGCCCGAGGACCTGAGTTCAACCTCTGGGACCCACAAGAATGAGAACTGATTCCTGCAAATTCGTGTGGGCGGACACACAACGTATGTAATTTAAAAACACGCCAAGACATGTTTTTCTCCTACTGTATAAAATATAACAGCTCGATACGATGATTCAACTGGAATCCCAAGATTTGTGAGGCTGAGCAAAAAGGATTGTGTGGAGTCAGAGAACAGAACCAACACAGCTTTGATGCTAGCACTGGGGAGGCAGAGGCAAGTGGAGCACTGTGAGTTCAAGGCTAGCCTGGTCTATATAGCAAGCTCCAGGACTTTTTTCCAAGGGAAAAAAGACACACCTGCAATCCTAGCACTTGGGAGGTAAAGGCAAGAGAGTTAGAGTTAGGAGTTCAAAACTATCCTCAGCTATATAGTGATTTCAAGACCAGCCTCAAAAAGCAAAATAGGGGCTGGAGAGATGGCTCAGCAGTTAAGAGCACGTGTTGCTCTTGCAGAGGATGTAGGTTCAATTCCCAGCACACACAACCACCTGTAACTCCAGGTCCAGGGTATCTGATGTCCTCCTCTGGTGGTGCACAAACGTGTAAGTCAAATACTTATGCACGTGTGCATGCACACACACACACACACACACACACACACACACACACACACACCTTTACAATTTTAAGTAAAATAAAAGATAAAAGCTGACATGCATAAGGCTCCTTTCTGGCTGGCATGCGTAAGTCTCTGCGTACTTCTCCAGCATACTCACATACACACAGATAGAAACAGCGTGAGAATGGATGTATCATACATGCAGTCCCTAACTAGCCTCTGTCATACTGTGTTCATTCATTCATTTTTTTTTTTTTTTTGCTTGTTTGTTGTTTTATTTTTCAAGACAGGGTTTCTGTGTGCAGCCGTGGCTGTCCCAGAACTTACTTGATAGACTAGGCTGGCCTCAAATTCACAGAGATATGCCTGCTTCTGCCTCCTGAGTGCTGGAATTAGAGGCATGGTTCATTCATCATTTATTCATTCATCCAAAGAGCTTAGAGAAGGACCCAGCGTTCAGTCAAGAGCTCAATACACAGTCATTAGCTATTTTTTCAAAGGAATCCTAGCATTTCAAAAAGACCAGAAACTCGTCCCCCACCATTACTTTGTTCACTCTGTGTGAGATGTCTGAGTGTGTGTGTGCTCACGTGGGTGTGCATGCTCATGTTTCTCCCCACCAGCCCTCTCCCTGAACAGGAATAAAGCCAGGTGAGTTAACGTCAACATAACGCAGATGTCGCCTCTGCCAGCAGAGGGCGCCATCGTCCCACGTTCCCAGTGGACTGCTATGGGGAACCTGCTCTCCTGCGCAGGGCAGGTGCAGGTGGTGTAGGATCTTAGCGCCTCTACCCCGTGATAAGGGCTAAAGGACTCCAGCTTCCGGAAGTTGTGGGAATGGGTTTAGTCAGGCCGCTTCAGAACACCAAAGCCGAAGTGTGCCTTGTGTTTGTGTAAGAGCAGAGGCCAAAGGATGTCGAGTGTCCCTGCTGTTACTCTCCACTTTAACCCCTCCAGACAGTCCCTCCCTGAACATACAGCTAGGCTGTCAGGTAGCAAGCCCCATTGATCCTCATGGTCACCACGCCACCTCCACACACACAGTGCTGGGGTTACAGTCAGAGCCGTTCTTGAATTTTTACACTTATTTACGTGTGTGGGTGTACATGTGTGGCCATACACACACCCACACACTTGCCAGGACAACTTCCAGGAATCTGTTCTTTCATCATATGGGTCCCAGGAAGTCAAATTCAGATTGTCACCTTAATGTACTGATCCATTTCCCTAGTCCTATCACAAACTATTTAAGAAGAAAAAAAAAAACGTTGTTTTCCAAACAGGGTCTCTCTGCGCAGCCCTGGCTCTCCTGGAACTCACTCTGTAGACCAGGCTGGCCTCAACTTACAGCCACCTGCCTCTGCCTCCAGGGTGCTGGGGTTAAAGATGTGTGCCACCACCGCATGGACATGTGTGTACTGAATGCATGCTGTGCCTATGGTGGGGGAACAGGTGTGACTCCTGGAACTGGGGTTACACGTGTGAGCCACCATGTGGGTGATGGGACTAGAACCTTCAGGGCCGTCTCTCCAGTCCTGTATTGGTTATTTTTGAGACAAGACACAGTTCATGCTGACCTCAAATTCACTGTGGCCGAGGCTGATCCTCGTGCTTTCACTTTTTTTTTCTTTTTGTCAAGACAGGGTTTCTCTGTGTTGCCCTCCCGAGCTGTCCTGGAACTCACTCCATAGACCAGGCTGGCATCGAACTCAAGAGATCCACCAAATAAAGGCATGCACCACCACCAAGCAGCTTGCCTCTGTTTTTTTAAGTGTTAGCATAGCCACCATACCTGGCAGTTTTTGTCTTGGTTCATCCGGAGACAGGTTGCAAGTGTAGTCCAGGCTGACCTCTCACGTCTGCCTGCCTGCCTGCCCAGCCTCCGAGAGTGGAAATTATGGGTGTAAGCTGCTACAGCCAGCATCCACGTTCCAACTTTTTTGACAGGGTCTCACCACGTAGCCCTCCCTGGCTGTACTTGAACTCAAAGGCTCACCTGCTTCTGCCTCCTGAGTGCTGGGACTAAAGGTGCATGTCACCACACCCAGCACCCTATGCTATTTTGATTCACTCATTAGGCTAGGCTGGCCAGTGAACACGAAGGACCTGTCTTGCTCCCAGTAATAGGACTATGGGAGAACATCATTGCCATGGCCTTGCACATGCTGGGGCTCAACTCAGGACCTTGTTATTGGTTGATAGGTTTTACAGGCTGATCTTAAGAGGTGACTACGTTATGCAGAATGAACAGAGTGGACTTCTCTGGGGTCCAGATATGTATTCCTTTTCTTTCTTCCTTTAGATAGTCGTTTTGTCTTGTTTTAGTTTTTCTCAAGACAGGGTTTCTGTGTAGTGCTGACTGTCCTAGAACACGCTCTATAGACCAGGCTGGCCTCGAACTCACAGAGATCCACCTGCCTCTGCCTCCTGAGTGCTGGGATTAAAGGTGTGCGACATCACCACCTGGCTCCCTTGCTTTTCTTGGGGTGTGGCCAAATGCCTAGTAGCAGTTTAAAGTCACTATGCCCAGCTTTGATGGTTTTGTAGCGCACGCTAACTTCAAGATTCTTGGGCTCAAGTAAGCTTATTCCTTCGCCTCCCGTGGTCCAGAATCACAGAAACTAGAAGTGGGCCTGGTGGAAGGCCCAGCTTGAGTTAAGACCTGGATTTGGTGCAGAGACTGGAGAGTGCTCTCCAGGCAGCAGGGAGAAGGAAAAGTACCAGGCACTTGTGCAGCGAAGTCAAGAGTGGCTGGAGGAACCGAGGGATAGGGTAGAGGGCAGATGGCACAGCTGTGCGACGCTGGGCAGGAAGACACAGGCTTTGTCATGGGGTAAGTGGGCAAGGAAGGAGCAGCGACTTAATGCCATCAGTGGAAGGGCTGGGGATGCCCGGAGCCCTCCCTGTACATGACATCATGGGGAGCTCAGCTTCAGCACAAGGGACAGCGACAGGGCTGTTGCCTGGAGATTGGAGAAGCTGCGGCACAAGGGGCGGGGCTGAGAAGCCCGGGGCGGGGACTCCGTGAGAAAGCTGGCTGAGTTCCCAGCGTGGGAAAGTCCAGGAGTTACCTAGGAAATCCTGAGCAGGGAGGAGCGGCGGTGAATTGGGTTAGAAGAGGTTAGAAACTGCCTGGGAGGATCTCCACGCACTTGCATTCTGTCTAGCCATAGGTGACTGGTGTTCTGTCCTCACTTACCCGGGGTTCCTGAGGATTCCATGGAGTCCCCACACACACTCAGATTAGGAGGCTGGCATGAGAAGGCAGAGGGGTCCAAAACAGGCAGGGACTAGATAGAATTCTGGGTTCAGGGAAAAGCTAAGAACTTTCAGAAATGTAGAATTAAGTTCCAGGACCAACAGTGAAATGGTTCTTAGGATCATGGATTCTGGTGGGTGCCATAAGTGTTCCTGGACTCAGTAAGCCTGTTCAGCCGGCCAGGATGGAGGTGCCCATGACAATCCACAATGCCTAGGTGCCACAGCAGATGAGCCAGGGTGCCATTTCTTGGGTGGTGGTGAAACCTGGGTCAAGGAATCATAATCACTATCGCTCAGACAATTCTGCCTCACAGAAGTGAGTACTGGCCCCTTTTTCAAAATGTCCATCTTGGAGTTCCTCAAAGACAAAAAGTTTTTAAACCACCTCAGGTCTCCCTCAAATCCAAAAGGGCTTTCAATTTCAGAACATTCCAGAACTTCAGCACCTCTGGCCTGCAATCCCCTTTGTCTTCCAATGCCACTGACCTTGCTCCACAACTCCAAGGACTAAAACACAGTCACCCAGGTCTTCCCAGCTCAGATCCCTTAGTGATCCATTGCATGGCCCTTAGGACAAGATGCCCTCGGCCTGGCATCTGATGACCCCTACCCGCCCCCCCAGTCACACTGCTCACCTTTCCCTTTCGCATACCCATGCCCAAACCCAGTTGTTTCTCTGCCTGTTCTGTTGCTGTGGAATGTCTTTCTGTACACTGTGAACATGTGTTGCTCTGATTGGTTGATAAAGCTGCACTGGCCTATGGCAGGGCGGGATAAGTTTAGGCAGTACATTCGAAAGGGAAGGATGGTCAGGGAAGTCATCAGCTGCCCAAAGAGCAAACAGATGCCCACCAACCAGTAACGCCACAGCCACATGGCAACGTATAGATTAATAGAAATGGGTTGTTATAAGAGCTAGTTAGCAAGAAACCTGACCCCTAGGTCATGCAGTTTGTAAGTAATATAAGCCTCTGTGCATTTAATTGTGACCAAGTGGCTGCAGGACGTGGGAGAAGTTCATCTTGACCGCTGGGCCAGGCGGGACCGGAGAAACTTCCAGGAACATTCTCAACTGCTCCTCTGCCTGGCATACTCTTCCCTCACCCCTGCACCTAAGCCCTCTCCCGGCTCCAACTGCCCAGCCTGTCTTGCTATCAAGCTGGGGAGCCCACTGGATCCCGGCAGCATAATGACTGTGACCAGCAGTGTAGCATAGACGCCGAACATAAGCACCGCCTAGTAAACCACACGGTAGGCCAACAGACCATGAGGCAAGGGTGAGGGCACGTCCAAATCCCAGGACTCAGGAGGTGGAGGCAGGTCCACCACAAATTCCGAGGCCAGTCAGGGAAGTGAGACCCTGTTTCCAAAATTCCAACAACACACACATGAAGTCTCTTGTGACTTGACTTGTCTCCAGGTCTCAGCAGGTCATGTGTACTATTAGACTTGGCCTCAAATCCTGACTAGATGTTTAGCTGCAGAGGCCAGAAGCCTAAGTGACCCTTGGGACAAAAGCCATCCAGTGGACAGTAAACTGGCAGAGGAGACTGGCCACAGCCCAGGGACACCGCTCAAGCAGGTGGAAGCCCTGGGTCTGCATCCTTGTTAGGAATCCAAAGGTGGCCGTTAGTGCCCTCCTCTGACAAGTGTTAATACTCGGGAGCAGTGTGCACCTGAAGCCCAGGCCCCAACCTCTATGCTTACACAAAAAGTACATTGCCGCTGCTTGGCGGGGGGCGCATGCCTTTAACCCCAGCACTCAGGAGGCAGAGCCAGGCGAATCTCTGTGAGTCCGAGGCCAGCCTGGTCTACAGAGCAAGATCCAGGACAGGCACCAAAACTACACGGAGAAACCCTGTCTCGAAACCCCCCGCCCCCCCCAAAAAAGTACATTGCCATCATCAGAGACAAACCATGATCTCTGCCCTTTCCTGCTCAGACTCCTGGAGATCTGTTTACAGATGACATGAGATACCACTCAAAGCAACCTGGAGAATAGCACCCAGGGAGAGTGTCCATCATAAACCAGCTCCTGCCTACTCACTCCCAGGTGAGGAAGAGGCAGCAGCGCCCCCGGGATGGCTTTCGAGGGCTGGAGGGCAACTGTGAGGAAGGCCTCCCAGCTGTGCAGATGAAGGGCCAGCACCAACTTCTCTTACGTTCAGGGGACAAGCTACACTTTCCTGAAGCCAGCTTCCTGCATTGATGAGCTTGGATGCACCAGGGCTGGGTGTGTGGAATCCCTTGTTGCTGGCTGAGTGTCCACTGAGAAACTTCAGTGTGGCTGGAGGGTCCCATCACCCAGAGCCGCGGGAGGGGAGAGTCAGTTGAGTGAGGGTGCAGCTGCTGTTCTGGTCTTGGGAGGAGTTCAAAAGGTACTGGGGCTTCAGGCCTCCTCCCTCAGCCTATTACCTCACCTGAGAAGGCACCCGTGTCCCTTTCCTGCAGCAGAAAGATCCATCTCCCTGGCTGACTTCCCGCATTGAGGTAGGAGCCTGGAGTAGCAACACAGATCTTCTGAGTAAGCCGTCATGCGGGGGGGGGGGGGGGGGGGGGTGGGGGGGGGGTGGCGCCGTGCACAGGCCGAGGCACACCTGTGCTGGGGCTGGCAGCAGTGGAGGTGCTCCTCCCAAGGGGGAATCCTAGTCTGGACGCCCTCAGGCCCTCTGCGGGCAGGGTCAGAGTGAGAAGGCCTTCCTTCCCTGATAGAGGTGCATGCAGCATTTCCCAATGCCCTCTGCCTACAGTGCAGGACTTCACCTGGGGGCAGAGGCCTCCGACAGTGACAACCACTGCCCTTAGCAAGTCTCAGGCCCGGCTCTCCCATTTCCACAGCACCTCTAGGCAGGACTGTACCTAGGGAACCTTACCCAGCCCCACCCTGTGGTTTCCCAACTGAGTTACAGTCTTACAGGGACAGTCTGCTCTGCCATGGTGTGAGATGACGTTTTAAACTTCCTCAAAAAGCTGGGTATGGTGGCTCACACCTGTTACCCCAGCACTTGGGAAGCTGAGGCAGGAGGGTTGCTGCAAGTCTGAGGTCAGCCAGGGCCAAATAAGGTGAATAATGACCTGGAGCAGAAACACCATCCAGAAAGAGAAAACATCGCAAGGCCTGCGACAAGCGCAGTTTTGTTTTTCTTTATTTGTCTACATTCAGCGGAATTCAAATGTACTGCCTGAATGATCCAGACATACCAAAACAAAACAAAACAAAACAAAACAAAACAAACCACTCTTTCTCACTGGTTTTTAAAATAAAATCTTCACTTATAAAACCGAAACACTAAAGCATTAAAATAAAGCAAGCTCATTTAACTCACTTCACAAAAGCATTAACAGATGCTGTATCCCTTCTGCAACTCTTTAAGGACACCCGATGGAACTCACACCGGGCAGGGACAGACAGAGGGACACCGCAAGGCAACAACTCCAACACTACTCAGACAAGGTGGAATGGCAACTAACAAACCACTGAAGACACGGAGTCCCAAACACAGCTAAATAGGGGTCACGGCACGGGCCTCAGGGACCACCACACTTCACAGCGTGGCAACATCGGCAGCATGGACGGGTGGGCACTGCGCCGGTGGACATGGCGACGGTGATGTGCAGACAGTCTCCCGAGACGAGTCGGAGGCAGAGGTGCAGGAGGTGAGAGGGAGAGCAGCCTGGGCCTTATCTGTACTGGTAGTTCATGCTGTGCTCTGGGTTCCGACTGTAGCCGCCTTGTGAGGACTGGTAGGAGCTGGAAGGGCCGCTGTAGCTCTGGCTGGACCCAGAGGAGCTGTAGTTCGACTGTGATGAGTACCCTCCTGCAAGATGGAGGGAGGGGGCTTAGCAGAGGTCTGGGCAACAGTTACACACTGCTGTACCCCAGGGTGGCAGGCAGTGGGCTCCTACTTTGTCACACTGGCCTATCACTCACTGCTACCCCAAGAGGTGGGACAACTGTGCCTTTAGGGCTGACGTCAAGTGCTGACTGACTGACCAGAGATAGGAGCCCCACAGCGCAGTTCAGTAGCTGCCAACATTTAAGAGTTAGGGACTTGAGGTCTCTGGCCCCCGAAAAGACTGAGCCCAGGCCCAGCCCCCAAGGGAAGGCAGCAGCAGCAGCAGCAGCAGCAGCAGCTGTCACATAGCCCCGCTCACAGTGCCCTGCCGGACCACTTGCCGTCCGGGCCCACCTTGTTTGCCTTGGTATGAAGAGCTGCCCCCAGAACCTCCGCCGTAACCCCCATGTGAGCCTGTGTTGTAGGATGACCCACTGGAGCCATAGCTGTTCCCGCCACTGCGGCCTCCACTACCACTGTAGTCTGAGGGGGGAAAAAAAAAAATCAGTGTGATTAGGGCCTGGGGCCAAGGACAGCTCAGATAGGTGAGGAGCCTTGGTGGGGAGCCCTGTCACAGTCACCCTGCCCTGGGTCAGGCTTATCACCCACTCTGAAGTCCACCTGTCTCACCTTCCCAACTGCCTCTTCTCCCCCAGGACACAATGCTTTTATCTGCCCCCCATCCCACCGCTTATTTAGCCCCCAATCCTCCTGATGACTGCTGTTCTCTCATGAGGACAAACACACCTACAACCCTACTGGGCAACAGTGCACATGAAGCCCGGAGGCCAGTGCATGGGGCTGGTTCACTGAGGAGCTGGATGGAATACAGCCCTTGGGAAGTTCCAGGAGGCAGCCTTGCAACTTCTACCCTGGTACCTAGCCACAGCATGGGGGCAGAGACCTCAGTCACAGGGAAGGGCCCTAGGGCCCAAGGTGACCCATCCAGGTTTCTCCCTACACTCACTCTCCCAGAGCGCCTCACAGTTCCTGGCTAGAGCTGGGCTTTTGGCCATCCCAACCAGGAAGTGGACACTGAAAGCCAACTCACTGAATTTGCTGTCGTAGCTGTAGTCGGAGCCCCCACCACCACCAGGGGAGCTGTAGGAGTTGGAGTAGGAGGAATAGCTGCCCTGCCCATGGCCGTAGCCCTTCTGCTTGCCCTGCGGTGTGCCGTAGCTGCTGTACTGGCTCTGGTTGTAGGGTTGCTGCTGGCCCTGGTGGGACTGGTAACCCGAGCTGTAGGAGGGTTTCTGCTGGCCCCCATGCAGCGGCTTCTTCCCAGCATGTTTCGGGGGCACTGGTGAGTTGTAGCTGTCTCCTTGGTAGTAGGAGCTGTAGCTGGATGAGCCACCACCGCCCCCGCTGCCTCCACCACCGGCATTCCCAGAATGCCCTCCATTGCTGTAGAACTGACCTAAACAGGGAAGCAGCAGATCAGGTGGAGGGTCCCCGAGTAAGGGCTGGGAGGGGAGAAAGGCAGCAGTCGTGGGCCCTGAAGGCTGGCCCACAGCTTACTGCTCAGAGCAGCCTGGCTTAAGCCAGCCCAGCCTTCAGCTCCACTCACCCTCAGCTGGTGACAAGGGTCTTTGCCAAGCAGCAGCACGACAGCAGCTTTGCAGATGTCAACATTACAATGAGATGGGCTCCGAGCGTGGTGACATTCAGGACTAGCTGACGGCTACCCAGATGTCCCCAACGGTGACAGGAAAAGCAAAGCACCCAGAAGCAGTGAGCCACCCCCCTTCCCTCCGTGCAGGAAATGAGCTCAACAGGCACAAGCCTTGGGGACCCCAGGAGATGCCTTGCCATGGAGGTCTCTAAGACCACCATGGTCTTCAAGACCAACTGCTCTAAAGAAAGTGACGTGAGACTCAAGACACTTGCCCGGCCTCCGTCCTGAGTGTGAAAACACAACTGAAGGCATAGAGTGGGTCCCCAGTCTCCTGAGAAGGCAAGCACAGGCTGAGACTGAGGTTCCATGTCGGATGGGGCCTCCCTCAATGGCAGGACTGATGAGCTAGCACTGTGGCCGCTGCGGTCGCTGGCCCCCACTTCTCATCACTGGGTTTATCCACGTGCTCCCTACTGGAGACTTGGGTGGAGTTGACAGGGGCAGGAGGACAACAGGGCTGGGCTGGGTCAAGGCATCACTTCAATCCCACTACAGGAGGGAGCTCCCTCCTCCAGGCTCAGGGGAAGCCAGAATATTGTCCAGTGCTCAACAGGGACCTTGGAGCTCCCAGAAGCCTGGATTCCCAAAGTAGCCCCAGCATGCAGACCTTAGCCCAGTGAACCCCATTAGGCCCCAGACAGGCAGAAGGGAGAAGGGTGCTCCCACACAGCCTGACCTTGCTTCCCTGGTTGAGACCTAAGGGCACTATGCCTTCCCTCTAGCCGCTGGTGGGTCCACAGCCCACCCCCATGCTGATGTTCCCCCAGCTGCTGGCACAAGCACAGGCAGAGGCAATGCCCCTGTGCAAGCCTGTCTCTAGACAGGCCTCTCCCACCCCATCACACAGCCACAACACTACAGAGGAGGAAGTGTCCCACAATGCAAGAAAGCAAACACATGGAGGCTCAGTGAGGATACTGGGAAGCCCAGGGCTCCAGATCACCCCCAACCCCAACCCCAGCACCTCCTCAGGCCCCTGCCTTGGCTTCCCCAGGGTCCTATGCTGAGCGACTGAGCGGCCTGCCTGAAGCCGGGCATGAATGAATCAGACGCCAGGACGGAGGGCTCATTACTTTAACATGTATTCATTTAAAAATAATAATAGTAATAAGGAAAAGGTAGGTTTTCAACGTCATTCAGAACTATTTCCTGGTATAAAAAGACATTATTCGCAAACAATAACTTTCTAAAAAATAAAAATAAAATAAAATACATCATGCAGGTCTCAGAAAGTTTCACTGACTTTTCAAACCTTGGGGAACAAGTCACACGATAACCATTTTGGCCACTTTTTGTCTGAATAAACATCAAATCTTGCAAGTCAAAGAAGGGGCAGATCTGCAGCAAAGACTACAGAGCAGAGGCCTAACCACAGTATCACAAGGATCCCCACCTGAAAGAAGGGGCCCTGTACTTTACACAATGGGGAGCAACTTCTAGGTGCCCGGCGGTGTAGACCCTGGTGGGGTCAAAGCCAGATCTTTGCTGGGGGGGGGGGGGGGACCTCTGGGAATGTGCGGGCCTCTTCCAGCTCAGTTTTAAAGGCCCATTGTGAAAAAGACAAACCCAAACCCAATCCAGAAGTCCATGCATTAACAGCTGTGATCAGGACTTGCAAAATTTCACGTTATTCTCTCCTTTCAAGCCTGTCTTACTTCTCACACAGGTAACGGAAGCGCAGTTTTGATGCCTTTGCAAATTCACGCTCTTAACTAAAAGCAGCCACAGAATCCCCTTAACCCCAGGACCCACCAGAGCATTTACAAAAGGTGGCAGGCCCTGCTCTACGCAAGTCCTGGCCATCCCAGAGGTTACATGCTCCTTAAAAAGGCAAGAAAAAGTCAGTTGCTCTGGATTCTCATGTACTGAAACCGTTCTCATCACTGCCAAAGGCATCAATCAGATGTGGAAATTTGTGAAAAGGTTAAAAATGCATACAAAACCTGCTGTAAATTAAGACAAAGGTAGATTAAAACGTGCCATTATCTGTCTCTTCAAATAAAGGAATGCTTTCCGTAAAAAGCAAAGCTGGGCCTTTGCCTTGATGCTGAACAACGCTGGTTCTAGAATTCTGAATTCTGTGCGAGGCTGCACAAAGAAAAAATAAAAATAAAAATAAGAAAAAAAAATAAATCTGAGAAAAGGGTTTTTCCACTTAGTGTGTACTTCGAAATGAGCAAGTTCAAAGGCAAACTCATGACAGAACCTGCCATTGTCTTAAGTCTGCAGGCTAACAGTTTCAGACAAGCTGCGGTGGAAAGCCACGGTTGAGAACCCCAGAGAAGCACAGGGACACAGCACGGACACTTTGGGTTTTGGAGTTGGAGGAAATTGGAGTAAAAAGTTGATTTTGTGTCAATACTTTTAGACGCTCTAGGAAGCCCCAAAATCATGATAGCCGTAGCAGTCTGTGAAAAAGTCACCTACAAAAGGGGGAGACAGAGCAGAGAGAAGAAATTAGAATTCTTTTGAAAAAGGGCACAGAGCGCCACATTTGAAATTCAGGTTTTAGATTTCTCTGCTCGTGTGACCCCCCAATGAAGGCTCCTTCTCAAGACAAAGAGCAGTGCACGGGCAGGAAGGCGCATTCTCAAAGACTGGTGCTTAAAGCAGAGAAATTTAAAAAGCCGACTTCAAAGGAACTTAGGCGGTAGGTACACAAGGGTGTGTTAGCATTAAAACTGTGACAGTTTGGACACACTTTGGGGACAGGGACTTGAGGGCCGGGGCTAACCTAATCACCGCAAAAAGGTACGGCTGGTGGCCCTGAACCTCAGAGATGCTAAGGCCAGCAACCTACCCTAACTCAGACCCAGACTACGCTGCTGCCGCCGCCGCAGCTTCCCAAGTGCAGACAGAGAGAGCGCACACTTACTGTAGCCTGCCGTGGCCGAATTGCTGCCGTACCCATAGCTTCCATATCCGGCACCTGCAAGAGAGCAGACAGGTTCCAGGGTGGATATGCACCCATCTACACCTTCCTTCCAAGGAGAGGAAACACAATCATCCCTGGAGTGTGCCATAGGTGACAGGAAGGGAGAGAACCCTCACCAGCATTCATGTAGCCTCCTCCATGGTTGGCGCCACCAAATCCTCGCCCTCGTCCTCGCCCACGGATGTTCCCTCCTCGACCCCGGCCTCGAAGGTTGGGAGGCGGGGGCACCTCGTTATGCATGGGGCCTCCCATGCCAAAGCCAGGGTTGTGTGGCTGAAAGAGAGTGCACAGGAGTGGGGCTCACACCACCCTCAGATCAATCAAATTCCTACCTAAGGCCAGAGGGCTCAAAGTTGAATTCTCACCTTGGCAGCAAATTTGGGTCCACCTCGGACAGGTACAGGGGTTCTCTTTTTTTTGTTGGCTTCAAGGGCAAGGGGGGCATCAGGAAAAAGCTTTTCTAACGCAGCAAGAGCAGCATAAGCCTTTGCCACCTTTTTGTTTGAACCAGCACCTTGAAACTTCTGACCATCCACTTCAACCTGTGGAAAAAACAGTGTGTGGGGACTGAGCTAACCCAGCACCTCTTCTAGTGTGAGGGCCTAGCTTAATTTAAAGCCTTTCCGCAGAGGCCCAGGCCTCTCCCAGAGCACTTCTTTCCCAGGAAGGTCAAGGTTGCCTCTAGCCACCTGATTACTCACCTCCATAACAAACCGTTTGTCGTGGCTGCCCCCAGTCTCAGAAATTAGCTCGTATTTGAGGCCACGCCTCTTCTCATTAAGCTCCATAACTGGGTTCTTGCCATGCTTAGTCAATATCGGCCCCTGCTGCTTGACGTCCTCAGGGAAAGCACAAAGAAAACCCCACTAAATTAGACTTGGGCCGGGCGGTGGTGGCGCACGCCTTTAATCCCAGCACTCGGGAGGCAGAGCCAGGCGGATCTCTGTGAGTTTGAGGTCAGCCTGGGCTACCAAGTGAGTTCCAGGAAAGGCGCAAAGCTACACAGGGAAACCCTGTCTCGAAAAACCAATAAATAAATAAATAAATAAAAAATTAAGACTCGGGCACTCCACCACCACCCAGAAGCCAAAAAGCCACTGAACCAAGGCCTCTCACTTGAGCCTCTAGATCTGGACCATCCTGTGTGCATGCCAGCTGCCATGTCTCAGGGATACAACCAACTCCACCCACCCCGTTCTGGCTCCCTGAGTACAGGTTCTGGGCTCCACAACTTCCACAGGTGCTCCCTTTGCAGATGACTGGCTACATGATCTGGCAGGTGAGTCCAGCCTTCTGACACTGTAAAACATTACTGTACACCAACCAAGCTCACACACAGGGACCGGCAAGATGGCTCAATGTGTAAAGACACTTGCCGCCAAGCCTGATGATCCAAGCTCCGTCAAAACAGACTTCTACAAGTTATACGACTAAATGTGTGCCCTCAAGGGTATACACACACAATAATGAATGTAATAAAAATAGTAATAATAAAATGAAATTGCTACAGGGCTTATTATATTAAAGGGGGAAATGGCTCAGTGGTTGCAGCACTGGCGGCTCTCCTAAGACATGGATTTGCTCCCATCACCCACACGGTGACTCCAAACCTTTTGTTTTTGTTTGTTTTGTTTTTCAAGACAGGGTTTCCTCCTGAGTGCTGGGATTAAAAGCATGCATCACCATCAATCACCTAGCTTCACAACCTTTTTTAACTACAGTTCCAAGAGATTTGAGGACACTGCACACATGTGTTGCACAGACACACACACAGACAAAAGATTCACATACATAAAATATAAAATGGAGAAAAAAAAAAGTTCAAGTTTGAGAACCATGCACCCCAGTTACAGAAAACTGCAAAACAACTCAGAATGTCTGAAGTGATCTCAGGCTCTCAGGTTAGGCCACACGTTGGACATGCCTGGCTCTGTTCTGCACATAAGGACTAGTGACTACCTGCTCTGTCCCGGGAATACGGCCCACCATGCAGCAGCGTCATTCCTAGCACCCACCACAGGCTCACCTCAGTCGTGGCATCTGAAGGGAAGACAGAACTGGGGTTGGAGACGGCTTCTACCACAGGGGGTGGGGCCACTACGGCTGGCTTCCCATCCGACTCCTCAGCCGAGTCCTCCCCTTTGCTGGAGTCTCTGCCTTCCGCGCCTGTTGGCAAGCCCATGTCCTGTAACACCTGTGGAGCAGACAGACCCAGGGCTCAGATGGCACAAGGCTTTCAAGGAACCACCTACAAAGGTCCTCCCACACCCCACAGAGCTTCCTAAGGTAACTTGTAGCACAATCTTAGCTACCTGCAAAGGTTTTTTTCCCCCTCCTTTTAGTTTCTCAGGTTGCCTCTGAAGCTGTGACACATGACTTGCTAAATGATCAAAAATCTATCTACCTCTGTGTTTCTACACCCTTTCTGAGATTCATACTGTCAGCTTGCAAACTGAGGCCTATGTGGGAAGGTGAATTTTGAAACTCGTTTGAAAAAGAGTATGCACCTGCAGCACTTACCTTTACAGCCACATGTAGTTTGGCCGTCTTTTTAGATGGCCCTGAGGCCTCGAAGGTACTGCCATCTACCTCCACAGACATGGTGAAGATGGGGGCATGAACAGGACCTGTCTGGGAGATCAGCTTGTACTGCAGCCCCGGCTTTAGCTGGTTCAGCCTCATCAGGGCATTCATAGCTTGGGGAGGTTCGGCCTTCTCCTCTAAGAAGAAACCAAGGTAAAAAGGGATGAAACTTGCAGAGCCCAGAAGAGCCAAAGCCTGGATGGAGACTGCTACATGACTCTGGGGCAAGTGACCTGGCCTGAGCCGTTCCCGCAGCCAGTGCGAGCGAGCGTAACTCACCATGGGACCCTCCCACTGCACCTGTGCCAGTTACTAGCCTGGGGGTCGTGGGGTGGGGAGAAAGCACCTTCCTCACTCTGAACCTCAGTCTGGACTGGAAGTCACAGTTCTCTCCCCTTAACCTCATGGGTTCTGGGGTCACAGATGTGAGCCACCAGTCCCAGACATCAGGTTTTCACAATACTTAAATATCAAGGGCAACTAGAGCTACATAACAATAACAGAGAACATGTCTCAAAAAAAAATCAAGGGCTGGGAAGATGGCTAAGAGGCCAAAGGGCCTACTGTGAATGCCCGAGAGTTCAGCTCCTGAGAACTCACATAAAGCCACATGGGACAGGGCACATCTGTGTTCTTCGCACTCCCATGGCTAGACAGGAGATGGAAGCACAAGAATCTCCAGGGGGGCCCGTGGGGCAGCTAGCCTGGCCTACTCAGCAGGAAACAGCAAAGAGATCCCGTCTAAAACAAAGTAGAAGGAAGGACAGACCCAAGGTCGTCCTCTAACCTCCACATGAACACCACGGGACATGCACATTCACACCCCACAGAAATTCTTTTTAAACATATGCAGATTAAAGATAGATAGATAGATAAATAAATAAGGCTTTTAGTGTGGCCTTCAAGGGATATTAAAAAAAAAAAAAAGACAAAAACATCCAGATGTACAGTAACTGAGACAGACGGAGGAAAGTGGGCACCAGCCAGGGAATGTTCTTACCTTTCTTCTGGATCTTCTTTTTCTTTTTGCTGGGAGACTTCTCCTCCCCATCCTCTTCCATGGGGCGTTTCATGGGTGTGATGGCATAGGTGGTGCTGGGGGGAATTTGAACTGAAAGGAGACCAGGTAGAAGCAGCTGAGACATGCAAACAGCACTCTGGAGAGAGCCCTGTCATCAGTGCCCATGGGTCCTTACCAGTGTAGTCCACTGGGTTCTCGTTCTTTGGTTTCTTGGGCATTTTGGAAGGCAGGGGGTCCATTCCCAGGACTTTATGGAGTTGACCAAAAGCAGCGAGCCGCAGAGCATGCTAGAGAAGGGGAAGAGGAGTCTGACTCGGCTGCCTCATGCCACAGTGACCACATGTGCGCTCACTAATGCCTTCTGAGATGGGGTGGAAGCTGGGGGGAGGGAGGGGCTGCTAAGAGTCTCCCTTAGGTCAGCAAGGGGTCCCCTGACAGCCAGGGCAGGGCCTGACAGCTCTGGCCCAGCCTTGCTGTGGGGGAGTGCCAGCCTGTGACCACCCCCCTCAAGAAGAGTACAGGAGACCCCAACCTGGGGGCTGGTTGCCACGTGGAGCCAAGTGGTAGAGCTGCAGGGGAAGAGCCTCGAGCAGTTCTCACAGCAAAGCTGTGGCCCACTGACCTCGCTGTGCCAACATGGCAGTCGAGCAGGTAGAGGCAGACAATCACATGTGGCACCAGAACAAAGCAGCAGCCCAGATTGGGGCTCCCTGTATCAGACACCATGCCTTTGCCTGGTCCCCAACCTGAGCCTATGACCCAGGGGCTGCCCTTCAAATGCCCAGTGAGTGCAGACTGGGCAAGGGCTCACGGTGGCAGTGGCGACGACTATACCTGCGCACTCTGTGTGATATCTTCCCGTTGCTGTCTGTCTAGATGCCCAATAGCATCAGTGGCTTCTTTTTCACAAGGGTCATAAATGCCAGAACCATCTGAAGGCAGGAAACAAGGAAGATATGCAGAGGATTATCCCTTGTCGTCTCATAAGAGTTGCTGGCTGAGGGAACCAGGTGTGTTACCCCCCCGCACCCCATCCACACCCAGCTCTGGAAAACACACCGAGCTCGGTGACCCACTCGGCATCCAGCCTTCGACAGAAATAAATTATATGTGTCTCAGAGCAAGAAAGTCACGTGGGAGTGGGTCACCACTGGCCCTGGGTCCGCCCCATTCACTGTTGCGGACCCGGCACAGGGCTGGATATGATGGTGCAAGAGGGTAGTCACGTGCTTTGGCCCTAGCAGGGGGACGTGGAGCTGCTGTATCCCTAACCCAGTCAGTGGACCAGTGAGGCAGTGGCTGTAAGGCCTTCATCCCTGTCCTTTTCCCTGTCCCTTGAAAATCACAAGGCCCCAACCTGGCATTACGATGCCGGAGGCCAGGCACTCCAGCACTCTTCGCAAGGCTTCGCCAGCACCCATGGGCCTATTGGCAGTGCCGATGGACTTCTCACACAGCAGCTCCAGCGGCTAAAAGGCAAGAGGGACAATGAGCATCCAGCCGCAGGAAACACCCTAGGAAGCCCTATCACTGGCTAGAGGGGTTAGGAGTCCCGAGACTGAAAGCCAGCCAGTGAGGTGAAAGGCCAACATCAGACATCTAGGCAGGGGCTTTCATAAAGGCAGTATGTATGGGCCAAGGGACAACACTGAGGACTGAGGTAATTGGGCTTAAACTGTAACCTCTTAATAGTGGGCTGTTAAGAAACAGGCAGCTTAAAAAAATAAAAGGAGAAGAAGGAGGAGGAGGAGGAGGAGGAGGAGGAGAAAACAGGCAATTGGCAGAACAGGCCTCAGGCCCTTGATGGCAAACTGTTCAAGATCACCTGCACCCCGATCCTTATATGACTAGTCACAGTGGACTGCCCAGGCAGCTCCCACCTCCTTTCTGAACTGTTACTCCTACCCACTCCCCGACCCAAGAAGGCCCTTGTCTTGCTTCCACCCCGACCCAGGGTCTGATGGATCACAACAGCCACCCAAGCCAACACCATGAAGCTATGTGAAGGCCACAACACTCTGAAAGGACATGCCTGGACAAACATTACCCCCACCCCTAATCATAAGGTGCCTTACCCATCCTCTGAGCGGACCCCAGGAGGGCACTCGGGTACACAAGTCCCTTAGGACACGGATGACAATGACACATGACTTCAGCCCATTGGCTCTGGCCTAGAGGAAGAAAGCGCAGGCTCTTCATACTCAGGGCACCACGGAGGACAGCAGGCACACATCAACAACACGAATCTCATGGTGCTGCTTTGCCAAGGGTAAACGGGTGCAGGGGTGCACAGCCACCAAGTGTGTGGCCAGCACGGAGCTCCCTGCCGTGTGGAAGGACGCCTGTTACTCTTACTGCAAAGCAGCCCACTGCTCAGCGGGAGCCTCCTCAGGGTTGTCAAGTCCAATTGATTTAGGCGCGCTCCTTTAGCAGCTGCACGCTGCAGGTGCTAACAAGACCGGCCCGGCTACAGTCAATGTCACGGACACTTTACGGTCAAAGTTAGCCATGGTGTCAAGCTTAGGCATTCTCTACCGAAAGACAAAGAGAAGAACAAAATGCAAACCTGGAACCACTTGGCGTGTCGGAGGGACGCCAAGGCAGCAAGGCATTTCTGCCTGTCCAGAACGTCCGGGGGGTCGTTGACTGATAGCGTTTCTATTCATGGATGGAATAAGAAGACAAGGCACAGTTTGACCAAGGGGTTCTGTCAGGTGCAAAGGGGATGTGGCAGCTTCCTAAAGGGCAGCTGAGTCTCCCACAATCTCAATTTGTGTCCACCCTGGACAAGGGAAGGAGAGGCTAAAGTGCCGTCAGCTCTGCTCTGAGAGGAAGTCAGAGAAACTGGGAGGCCCTCTCCAAAATTTTAAACCACAGACACAAAAACCAAAATCAAAAAAGAAGAGTTACTCTAAAGGTGTAATTGGCGGGGAAGGGAAAAGATAGATAGGCTGACCCTATCTTCTCAGAGACCCGTTCCCTTGATTCTTCCCCATAAATTAGCTAAGCTGGAATTTACCATAGGAAAAACAAAAACAAAAACAAAAAGGTGGGGGGAGTGGAAATGAACTCCCTCTCTGCTTCTCACAAACAGGCATCCACCTGAAGCACAGGGGACCACCTCCGCCCACCAGGCAGGACTGCCCTAGCCCCAGGCCTTGACAGAGAGAGTCCTGTTGGTCAAAGGTCCAGCGTCCCTGAGTGGATAAGCTAAGAGGGCTTTGGTCACTGGCATCAGATACATGTGCCAAAGGGAAATGAACAAGTCTGTCTCCACTGCAGTACAGCTAGGCTGTCGTTTGGCTCTCGGTGATTTGGATAAGGCCTGACAGCAGGCCCAGGAGGGCTGCAGAGAGATCGTGAATTGTATGGAGATGAAGTAACAGCCTGGCATCTGATGTGCAAAGACTGGGCTGGAAGACAGCACAATGGTTTAAAACCTTATCCAAAACTCCGCTGCAGCTCCTGGACTCCCTGAAGCTCAGAGTGCCACAGGCAGAGGCCAAAGGAAAACAGCCCGGCTCTGCCGCAGGGATCACTACTCCTACGTGCCGTTCATAGAGAAGCCATCTGGCTGCCGCTAACCACTGCAACACTGCAAGATTCCCGGGGGACACACTTTTTTTCAGAGGAAAACAAGTTTAACAAGGAGGTTCAAGACCATTCAAGGAGCATGAGAAACAAAATGGTGCACGCCCTATGCAAAGTGCTACTCACTTTTAGTGCCACTGTTGGGTCCAACTCCCAAGAACACAAGGCCAAGGGGAGACATGAATTTAGAGTACAGGCAGTCAGAGCTCCACTGACACCCTCTCATCAGAACACTCTAAAACTGAATAGCACATTTGAGCCAGAGGGAACACCAAGTCTGCAATGTTCTGCTGGCCTCTCTCGGCCTCCCTACCTCCGGCTAATATTTTCTCCATTTCTTCTCTGACAACAGGGGAGGTCAGGTGGATGGTCAAGGACAAGGGGGGTTCTTTTGTGTTTTTTATCACAATCGCAGCATCATCCACAGACTGGAGTATTTCGTACTTGTCTTCTGTTACAGTCTGGAGGAGGAAAAGAGGTAGCTTTCAAAACACTTTCTCTGTAAGGCAATCAACAATCCTGACAAACTCCATTGGGTCTCAGGTTATGAATACTAGGTGGGCCTCTAATCCTGTAGCCAGACAAGCTATTTCCACCAAGAATGTTAAAATGTAAAGGGAGGAGTCAGACGTGGTGGCTCATACCTATAATCCCAGCAGTTACAGAGACTAAGGCAGGATAATGAGTTCAAAGCTAACACAGGCCACAGAACAAGACTATCTCAAGGGCAGAGAGGGAAAGGAGCTAATGCAGTGGCAGCTATTCCAGTGACTTGGGAGACTGAGGCCAGAGGATAACTTGAGCCCAGCAAGTTAGTGCAAGCCTGGGCAGCATAATGACACCAAAACCAATCAATGTTAATTTAAAAACAAACAAACACCAAATGAAATTCAAGCCTGAGCATCAGGGTACATGCCTGAAACCCCGGCACCCTACAGACAAAAGCAAGAGGACACTGCTGCTGGAGGCCAACCTGGTCTAGAGAGCAAGCCACAGCTACACAGTGAAATCTAGTGTAAAAATAAATAAAAGCAACAGCTAGCCACCAGGAAGTCATATGCCTATAACCCTAGCACTCGGGATGCTGAGGCAGGAGACTGAACTCAAGGCCAGTTTGGGATACAAGGGAGAGCCTATCTAGAGAAAACCAGGTCTTTTTTCTCATTTTCTGAGACAAGCTCTTCTTGGCCAGTGGCTTTCTTATCTCACTCAGCCTTAGTGCTGGCTCAAGGCTGGGGCTTCTAAGTTCTAACATGGACCTAACATGCACACACTTCAAGGCTACAGAACAAAGTCCACGACAGAGGGGATCCACAGCCTCAACAAGTCCCATGCTGGGAGAAGCAGTCAGCAGACAACATGGAGGAGAAGCACATGCATTACTCTAGCCTACAGACAGGGAGAGACAAGGAACCATGTGTGTCCTGCAAGGCAGGTCTACAGGGTGCTCAACAGTCCACACTCAACTTCTTCATAAGCTAGTTCTTGTTAACTGGAAAAAATGTCAGTCTCAAACTATTTTTGTTAAAAGAAGTAAAGTGGGTCAGGCAGTGGTGGCGCACGCCTTTAATCCTAGCACTTGGGAGGCAGAGGCAGGCGGATCTCTGAGTTCGAGGACAGCCTGGTGTACAGAGTGAGTTCCAGGCTAGCCAGGACTACCCAGAGAAACCCTGTCTCAAAAAAGCAAAGTGCATACATATACTGTAGAGAGGACCTGTGCCCTGGAAATCGACCTCAGCATGGCTCACGTCTGGATCGGGGAATTCTTGCTGAGGAGGTTGTCCCGTGTCATACAGGGTGTTCGAAGCATCCCTGGCAACCACTCACTTGGGAAAGGAGTGCCTCGCTTCTCCCTATCCCCAGAGAGGTGGAGCTATCAGCTGTCAGGAAGCACTGATACAAGGAGCACGGCCCTGTGTGCAGCACACTAGAGATGGACTTGGGCAGCTCACTAACCACAGCGCTATGCACGCCTTGTGAGGCGTCCACCACATCCATTACTACCCCTAGAGATCACAAAGCTCTTTCTTTCAAAATATTTACCAATGTGCTCCACATAACAATCTTTAGAAAGAGATAATAGTCATCATGAAATCCCAGCTGTGAGAAACCACCTGAGAGTCTAACCTGTGGCAGTTCCTCTCAAGTTTCTAACATTCTGCACTTGCTGCTCTTCCAGATCTCAATTCACACCTCTCCCGAGGAGGTTCCCAAAATGGAATGTTTACTGACATACAAAGGCATTTTTCTTTGCAAAGTAACAATCTTAAAACCAACCTGAAATTTCTGTATGCTTATCTTTTAAGTTAAATCTAGGAGAACTTTTCTGGAAATTCAGAGTATGACAGTAAAGAAGCTCTGCTGTCTCTGGCTGCCCCCAGAGGGGCATGCTGGGATCAGCTTCTCAGCTCCTGAATGTCACATCACCCCTATCACTCAGACAAGTATGAGATTAGCCACAACTGGTCAGGGAGACCCATTCCTATAATCCTAGCATTCTGGAGGCAGGAAGATAAAGATGTCAAGGCCAGCCTGGGCTAATATGAGACTCTACCAAAAGTCAGGGCAGGGAGGGTGAGCCATAATGGATAAACTCTCGAAGAAAGTGGGGGAGGTAGATACACATACATCTGACCTGGAGTCTGGCTCAGTAAATGTTCAACAAGCATCAAAGACCATTAGTTATGCAGTATTTTAGTAACAGAAGAAATGACTGAGGTGTTTTTTTGAGTCAGGGTCTTACTCTATAGCCCAAGCTGGACTTGAATATGCATAATCTTCCTGACTCAGCCTCCTAACTGCTGGGATTACAGGTATAAGCCACCACGACCACTGTTTTCCCTCTTCTCTTTCTCTCTCTGAACTCTTCCACTGAGCTCCAGCTGCAGCCAAGTGAGTGGAGTTTTAAGTATGTCCAGGTCTGACCCACGAAGAGTTAATGCCCTTCCTTCCTTCATCCCATGCAGCCTACACATGGTATTTTTATTCTAGCCCAATAGTCCAGGCTTCACACATGAGGGCACAAAGCTTTAACTAACAACTAGCAGACTGTGCACCACTATAAGCAGTGGATGATTTCCCACAGGCCCTCAAAGGCCCTGTGGTGACCTGCTCGTTATCAAGTTGAACACATGGAAGATACACATGACACAGATAGGCCCTCTCTTCCTCTGACCATCTTCTCCACAAGCGCTAGGACCCCCTCTGGCATGGTGGTGGTGGTGGTGGTGACTCACAGTGAGCTGGATGGCCAGGTTGTCAGCCACCTTGTCCAGAAGGGCAGTTGTGGGCTTCTCCTTACAGAGCAGAACCAGCTCCAGATCCAAGTCCCCCTTGAGCAGAAGACCCTTGGCTACCAGGCCGACCCGCATCACGCCCCTCAGGGTCCTAGTCATGTGTTCCGCCTTCTGTTCCCTGAGAGACAGACAAAAGTCGGGCTCAATGGGAAGCCAACCTAGCCAGAACCCAGGGAGACTGTCACTTCTTAGGAGAGATGCTAGCTTAGCTGTGCCACATAGTGACACAGACCTGTAATCCCAGCACTCAGGAGGCTGAGGCAGAAGGACCTCTGTGGTTTTGGTGCTACCTTGGGCTACAAAGTAAGTTGAAGGTCAGCATGGGCTATCCCATGAGATCCTGTCACAAAAAAACACTATAAGAGCTAAGCAAGATAGAGGCAGGAGGCATCAGGAATTCAAGTGCAGGCTTCAGTACCTAGTGAGGTAGCAAGTCTGGGCAACATGAGACCCTGCCTGAAAAGGCCTGAGCCTTCCTACACGCACACGCGCACACACACACACACACACACACACACAGAGAGAGAGAGAGAGAGAGAGAGAGAGAGAGAGAGAGAGAGAGAGAGAGAACCCTGAGACTCACCCAGCCCCTTCTTTGCTCTCATCGTCTGGGGGCGTATCCATATTTTCTGCCTCAGCGAGTTCGCTGCCGCCCTTCTCCTGCTCATCAATCCAGTCAGAGACAGCCTTGAGGGCCCGCTCAGTGTGAGATACCATATTCTGTACGGCCTCCAGCTCTTCTTGCGTTGGGTACACTGAAGAATGCTTTGCCATCACATGGCGATCATCGTTCACAAAAATTCTCATGGGACGCTGGAAATGCGAAAACTACGCTAAAAATGACGCAAGGACAGCCAGCAGCCCACCCCTCACCACTTAGTACCATTCCATCCTTCACAGAAGATAGACTATGGGAATATGGCCCGCAGCCTGAGAGAAGACTCTCAGGCAGCAGCAGAAATGGGGCACTTTACGTATCGCTCGCTACACTACAGTAGTCCCCCTTATCCGCGGGGTACACATTTCAAGACCCCAGTGGATGCCTTAAAGCGCGGACAGCACCAAAATCGAAATGTGGTCGGGTTTAACCTCTATGCACACAGGTATGGTAGTTTTAATTGGTCAATCGGGCACAGGAAGGGCTTAGACAGGACGGAATGTGAATGTGGTCTCCCTCCAAGTAGCTGCTCATCCTACTCACCCTTCTTCTTCTTGTGATGAAGTGATGATGGTACAATGCCTACGTGATGAGATGAAGTGAGGTGAATGACGCAGGCATCAGGATGGCGCACAATTTAACACTTAGCAATTTTTTTTCTTTCTGGAAATTTCCACTTAATATTTTCAGACTGCGGTGGACCGCAGGTAACTGAATCCGCGGGAAGCGATAACACGGCTAAGGGGGGACTACTGTATTCACATCGTGACACGTAATTATTTTAAAGAATTTAAAATGTCTTAAGACAAAATGCTAATAGCAGCAAATGCTTTGGGGACATGCTATGGGTATCTTTGTATATAAGTGAAAAAATAGTGTCTATGATCAAAGAAAAAAATTGTCTTACCATTTTTCCTTCCTTTTTTCTTGTAGTGTCTGGAAATCAGTCTTGGATTATCTTTTCAAATTGTGACAGCTTTCCTTGGTGTTACCAATACTTCAACTATCTATAAGACCAGAAAACCTTTTTAGTTTTAAATACCCCAGAGACACATGCTCCCAGCAGCCATATACTTGGTAGTAAGAATGAAGGCTCAGCTCACAAAGGGCTAGATCACAGCAGGACACATCTGTCTTCCCAGGGAGCCAAGCCAAGGCAACAAACAACTCACTCCAATTTCCCTTCACAGGAAGACAGCAGGATTCCAGAAGACCTATCTAAATCCAGCCACACACTGAGGGGATTTCTGTTTGCCCATGTTTCATTTCTTCCTATATAGCATGCTGGGGGGCAGCAGAGAGGGTGTCAGGATTTTATGCAACCCAGGCTGGCTCCAAAGTCCAAATCCTTCTGCTTCCACTTCCCAAGTGCCAGGACTACAGGTGTGCACCATCAAGCCTAGCTTGGACTCTTCTGTAGTTCTAGAGCAGGGATTCCTATGGGCATATGCTCTACCACTGACAATCTCGCAAATGTGTGGTATATGCACACAAGTCTTTGTGGGTACATGTGAAAGGACAAAGAAGGCTTTAGTGTCCTGCTCTATCATTCCCTACTTTATCCCCTTGCAACAGAGCCCCTCACCAAACCTAGAACTGTGTTGGCACTCGAAAGGCCCTGGTACCCTCCTGTCTCTGCCCCACCCACAACAGTAGGGCTCCATCTTGTGGCCATGTCCAGCCCAGCTTCTTACAAGGACACTGGGAATTCTAGCTCAGGTCTTCATGCCTGTGCAGCAAGCACTCCTATCCATCAGGCCATCTCCCTCCCAAGGTTGGTTTTTCAAGGCAGGATCTCTGGTAGCTAAGGCTGGTCTCAAATTTGCTACACAGGGGAATATGACCTTCACTTCAGGATTCTCCTCTACCCTACCTTCAAGTGCTAGATTAGAGGCATTTGTCACAGAAATCAAAATTGTACTTAGTCTGTAGTTCCAGACTGAACCACAGAGACTCATATAGCTAAGCACGTGCTCATTTCACTGCCTATACTCCACCACCCAAGCATGCTGGGCTTTATAAATCAACCGAAGCAGGAGGCGGAACAGAGGTTGCTCAGTAGTAAAGCATGTGCTTAGCTTTACTACTGCAGGCACTGGGTGTTATCCCAGCACTAAACCGGAAACTCAAAACATCATGTAATAGGGAATCATGGCACACTAAGTGACCCAGGTAGGATGTCTGGAGTTCAAGGCCAGAATGAGCTACAAGGCAACATCCTGGCAAAAACAAAACACAAAGAAGGAGGGCTGGCAAGATGGACTGATGGGTTGCCATCAAGCCTGATGGAATGAGTTTAAACCCTAGGCCCACAGTAGAAGGATAAACCCACAAGTTGTCCCTTGACCATGTGTGTGCCATAGCACATTCCTCCCCTGTGCAAGTAAATGCAATACAAAAATTTGAAAAAAATCAGCCAGTTGATGGTGGTGAACACCTTTAATCCCAGCACTCAGGAGGTAGAGGCAGGAGGATCTCTGTGAGTTTAAGGCTAGCCTGGTCTAGAGTTCCAGACAGCCAGGATTGTTAGACAAAGAAACCCTGTCTCAAAAAAAATTTTTTTTGAAAAATCAAATAAGTAAAAACATAAGATTAAGAAGCTACCAAAAAAATGTTGCAAGTAGAAATGTTCATCAAAATATGGGTGCTATTCTTGTACAATCCTAGCACTTTGCGAGGACAGGAACAGAAGGAGTACTGTGTGATAGAGGACAGACTGGGTCTACAGAGCAAATTCCAGGACAGCCAGGGTTACAGAGAAACCCTGTCTCAAAAAGAAAAAAGACAACTGCTTGTTAGAAATAGCAGTACCCCCCTGTAGCCCTGTATTCAGGAAGCAGAGGCCAAGGGGTGTAAAAGTTGAGGCCAGCCTAGGCTACAAGCAAAACTCCTATCTCAATAAACAGACAGGGCAGGGGATGGCCTCCTGGATAAAGGCACTTGCTAAGCAAACATGAGCACCAGGGGGTGAATCCCCAACACTCATGTACTAAGTCTGTAATCCCAGCAGTGTGTGGGTCAGAGACAGAAGGATGGCTACAGCTTTCTGCTGACAGCCTAGCTCCAGATTCAGTGAGTGAGCCTGTGTAAGGACTCAGGTCTCTGGAGTGATAGAGCAGGACACACACACTATCCTCCTCCTCTGGTTCCTCTCCTCTCATACACACAGGCATACACATCAAGCACATAAAGAAATCAAACACACACGCATACAAACAGATCAAAATATCAACTCCACGTGTTTAGAGAAGGAAAAAAAGGTGGGAGCTCTGACCCATAGGACACTACAGGGACAGACAAAAGGTCCTAACGAGCTTCTGTCACACAAACAAGGAGAGCTCTCAGCCTTGTGTGCAGTGGGCCTGGGTTAATGCAGACTCCTATAACCAGTCCAAATGCTAAAGGTAAGTGATTACTGCATTCACTCACTCCAAGATTCCGGAAACATCACAGAAGAGAGAGCAGAGGCCATGAAGAGCTGCAGATGTAATAGGAGTACTGTTGAAAGCATGTCTTCTGGACGGCATGGCCATTGCACGAACTCATAGCAGCTGTAGCTAGCTGCACAGGAGCTACATTATGCAGGGCCTCTCAACATTTTAGCATGGGTGAAGGAGGAGCTTATGAGGCCCCACCCTTGCTGAGGAGCTCTTGGTAGTTAATAGTTGCTGAGGGAGACAGTCATTTTCTTCAGGGAGGCAGCCACTGTTAAGATGCTCATGCTCCAGTATGGAACAACCCCCCCACCCCCACCCCCACCCCATATTCGCACATAGACAAGCAACCCTAATTAAAGATAATGGGTTACAAAACAATAACAAACAAAGCAAAAAAACAAAACAAAACAAAACAAAAAACTGGGGCAAGAGGGGACTTGTTGAAAGAGATTCAGCAGGAATAATCAAAATATATTATATACATGTACAGAACTGTTGAAAAACCTTTCTAAAAGTAAGAGTCAGCAGGATGGCTCAGGGGGTAAGGGCACTGACCACCAATTCCTCCCCCAAACAGTCCTCTGAACCTCCTCAGGCTTAGCATGGCATGGCATGTGCCCGCCCCCAAGCAATAAAAAAATTAACATAATTAAAAGACAAAGTAACATTTGGAAAAGCTAAAAGGTAGAAACAAGTGCACCAAGTAGATACCCCCATGGACTCAACTTTGGAAAAGTTAAGGCACCAAGTATGTAACACAAGTGTGCAGGGCAAAAAAAACCTCTCTAAACAACATGCAAACTACAACCTACTCGACTCCTGCGCCCTACAAACAGCCTGTCCAGCCTGCAATTGTACACCAGTCAACGGCTGATTCCTTCCACAGCACTGTGCTCCATCACATCAGTGAGGCCCTCCGACCACATTGTTACAACAAAGACTGTACTGTAGGCACAAATCTCAAAAGGTATAAGCTGCAAGGACAAACTGCCAAGACTGGCCAAAGAGACCTTCCCAAAGGTCTTCAGGACTACCTACCAAACTCTGCCAAGTTAGAAGTTCAACTAATACCACAGAGTGGGATTGAGAGTGCCGCAGAGGTGGTTACCAGGAAAGAGGAGAAAGGGGCTGGAGAGATGGCTCAGGGGTTAAGAGCACTGGCTGCCCTTCCTGAGGTCCTGAGTTCGATTCCCAGCAACCATATGGTGGCTCACAACCATCTATAATGAGATCTGGTGCCCTCTTCTGGCCTGCAGGCATACATGCAGACAGAATGCTGTATACATAATAAATACATTAATTTTAAAAAATAAAAAAAGGAAAGAGGAGAAAGGCTTCATAGGAGAACGGTAGGGGAAGGAGAGAGTGCCCGAGTGTGAGATGCTAAGAGGTGGAGACCAAGCCTAGGCTGTAACTGCTCCTAAGCAGCCACATGTGGGAGAGGCCACAGCCCTTTGCGTTCGAACTTTCTATGGAGCTTCCTTCTTACATCTACAGTAGAGGGGCCTCTGTACAACATCCCGAAAACTAAGCAGACCAGCCTACATAAGCCATGAAGCCCAAGTCCCTCTGACTCCTAAGTGTCAGCAGCTTCGACTCACAATTGTTACTGTGACCAGCTGATCCAGGTTCTTCCCATGTCAAGGAAGAGATTGGAACTCAATTACAAGTCAACTATACATAGCTGTGTTGGACAGGATGCTTATGCACACCTATAATTTCAGCACTTGGGAGGTACAGGCAGGATCAGGATCCTGTTCGTGGCAGGCCTAGGTTAAGTGAAAATTTATCTCAAAAACCATACTTGAGAGCTGGAGAGACACTATGGTTAAGAGCACTGGCTACTCTTCTTGTGTACTGGAGTTCAACTCTTAGCACCCATATTCAGTGGTTTACACCCTTCTGTAACTCCAGCTCCAGGCGACCTTCTTCTCATCTCCACAAACACCTATACTCTCCTACTTATCTACACACCAACACACACGTCAGCAAATACATACACATACATACATAAGTAAAAAGAGAATTTTTTTTTTAAATTTAATGCTTAGATGTGATAACTAGGGACTAGACAGCTTGGCAGATCCTGCTCTCAAGACCAAGTTAGAGCCAGGTATAATGGAGCATGCCTTTAATCTCAAGACTCAGGAGGCAGAGGCGGGGGGGTGGGGGGGGGTGGGGGGGGTGTCTTTAAGTTTGAGGCCAGCTTGATCTACATACCAGGAAGCCAAGGCTATGTTTCAAAAACCAAAACAAAACAACAGACCCAAGTTCAGCTCTCAGCATCTCCCTCTAGTTCCAGGGGACCTAACATCCCTCTTATGGACTCCACAGTACCTACACACAGATGCACATACTAAACATAACTAGAGACACACATAAATAAAAAATTAAAACAAATCTTAAAAAATAAATAAATAAAAGATACCTTTAAACCAGCAACCCAGGAGGCAAAAGCAGGTGGATAGCTCAATTTCAGGCCAGCTTGCCTACAAAGCAGGGTCCAGATCAGCCAGAGCTACACAGTGAGTTCCTGTCTCAAAAAAAAGGGGAGGGGGGAAATAATTATGATATTTTGATGCCTTGAGCTGTTAGAAGGGGAGGAATATGTTAATCTAGCTGCTTGTGCCTAGTTCAGATAAATACATGGCTAAAATTACTACATGCCTATTGTTTCCCAGAAATACTCCAGAGAGAAAATACAAAAGGATGAGTAAAACTGCAAGGCACTGGGCAGAGCTAAAGCTGGGAGACTGGCTGGGCCGTGGTGGTGCACGCCTTTAATTCCAGCACTTGGGAGGCAGAGGCAGGAGGATTTCTGTGAGTTCGAGGCCAGCCTGGGCTACAGAGTGAGTTACAGGACAGCCAGGACTGTATCACAGAGAAACCCTGCCTCAAGGGGGCAAGAAAAGCTGGGAGATGGTTGTCCTGGAGCTCATTTGTGCTCCTTTGAGAAACTCATGACAGATCTCCTGGTCTGCAGTACTGGGAATGAAATGCAGGGCTGTGGGCATGCTGAGCAAGTCTCTACACTGGTCCTGTCCCCAGCCCCTTTTCACTTTTTTTTTTTTTTTAAGGGGTTTCTCTGTGTAGTTTTGGAGCCTCTCCTGGAATTCACTCTGTAGCCCAAGCTGGCCTCGGAACTCACAGAGATCCTCCTGCCTCTACCTCCCGAGTGCTGGGATTAAAGGTGTGTGCCATCACAGCCTGGTTCCTTTTCACTTTTTATTTTGAGAAAATCTTGCCAATTTCCCCTGGGTGGACCTTCAACCCACCCCCTCCTGCCCTAGCCTCCCCAAATGCTGGGGATACTTGTGTGCAATAGCGCACACCACTAGTTGTTTTAATTATTTATTTTGTGTGTCTTTGGTGGAACTGGAAGGGCGGTGGGCACGTATGCATGCCACAGTGTGCCTATGGTGGTCAGAGTTGGTTCTCTCCTTCCACCATGTGGGTCCTGGGGATAAACTCAGGTCATCAGGCTCGGCAAGAAGTGCTTTACACACTGGACATCACACCAGCCCCATTAGTTTACTTTTACTGAATAATAAACTTAGGTATTTCTGATAAAGCACAGCCAGTGGCAAGTAACTATAAACAAATCCAAAGAGCAGTAAACCAACCACAGTCTGGATTCTGCCAGGCAAAGGAAATACCATCAGCTCTTGCTGGCTGTCACCCCAAGTCCCATCTACAGCACTATCAATCAAGCCAAATCTCTGTGAAATCTCATGAATGCACAATCATGAAGCTTCTATGTAAGAAGTACATTTATGTTTTATTTTTCTGATATTAAAAGTTACTTAACAAAGACTTGTTTCCATTTTTTTTTTTAAAAAAGTACATTTATGCAGGCCAGAGAGGTAACTTGGCAGTTAAGAGTATGTGCTGCTCTTCCAGAGGACCCCCGTTCAATTCCCAGCATTTTCATGGTGGCTCACAACCTTCTGTAACTCCAATTCTTGGAAATCTACTCTCTTTCAGCCTCCTCAGGCAGCAGCAAGCACAAACATGGTGCACAGACATATGTAAAAGAAAACACTTGAACACACTAATAAAAAATGGTTACTTGTGGGCATGTGCACTATCAGTGTGCAGGCACAGCACTTAAGAGTCATCGAGAGGACAACTTCCAGTGTCGATCCTCAAATGCCATCCACCTCTTTTCTGAGACTATCACTAGCCTGAAGTTCCCCAAGTAAGCAGGGATGTCTACTCAGCAATCTTCCTGTCCCCAGTTCCCATAGCTGGGATGATAAGCAAGTGACAGCATACCTGGCTTTTTAGAAATTTATCAGATTTATTCATTTTATTTTATGTGTACAAGTGTTTTGCCCACACATGTGTATGTGCACCATGTAAATGTCTGGTGACCAAAGAGGTCAGATAAAGCCATCAGATCCCCTGGAACTGGAGTTGTAAATGGTTGTGAACATACATATGGTGCTACTCCTGCTCTTAACCACTGAGATATGCCTTCACCCCCCACCGAGCTTTTAAAAAACTTGTTCTGAGCCGGGGGGGTGGCGGCGGCGGCGGCGGCGCGCCTTTTAATCCCAGCACTCGGGAGGCAGAGGCAGGTGGATCTTGAGGCCAGCCTGGGCTACATAGTAAGTTCCAGGAAAGGCGCAAAGCTACACAGAGAAACCCTGTCTCGAAAAACAAAAACAAAAACAAAAAAAAACTTGTTCTGAGACCCAACTCAGGTTTCTCCTTGCAGGAACTTTACCAATAGAGCCATCTCTGCAGGCCTCCAAGTCATATTTATTTAAACAAGTATTTACCACTTTATTTGTCCAGTATTTCTCTCTTCTATTGGGTCTGATGGTAGGTCAGTGACAGATAAGCCTGCAGGCTGGGGACAGGGGGACTTGTGAGGTGAGCCAATGGCCCTAACTGCTGCTCCTGCAGAGGTTGTGGCTCTCCTGTCTCCCAGTAGATGGTTCTTAGGTAACAACTACTGATGCTAAACTTTAACGTAGTATTTATTTTAGCCACAAACTCTTCATCCTAGGAGACACTATAAAGTATCACTGGGATAAAGCAGAATCAATGTTAGTAAGAAAAACAATCGGGCTGGAGAGATGGCTCAGCACTTATGAGCACTTGCTGCTTTTACAGAGGACCCAGGTTCAGTTCCCAGCACCCACATGGTGGCTCACACATCTGTAACTCCAGTTCCAGGGGATCCAACATTCTCTTCTGACCTCTGTCGGCACTGCACACACATGGTACACATACATGCAAGAGAATACCCACAAAAATAAAATAAAGTTGTTTTTTTTTCTAAATGACATTCTGTCTCAGAAACAAACAAAACTTAAGAAAACATCCCAAATTAGAAGAACTGCAAATAAATACTGAACTCCAAATAACTTTGTAAGATGGCAACACTCTGCTCCTTGGTCTTAAATGCATCATAAAAAAAACTAAAAAAATAAATAAAGGAGGTGCTGGGTGGGATGGCTCACTGGATACATGTGCTTGCTATGCAAGGCATGAGGATCTAAGTTTGGACCCCAGCACTCCTGCAAGATGCTGGGGCATAGCTATCCCAACCTACAAACCCCGTGCTGTAGGACGTGAAAACAGGAGGATCTCAGGGCTTGCTGGCTTCCAGCCGACCTCCAGGTTCAGAGAAACCCTTTTCAAGGGAAATAAGGTAAAGAGTGACAGAACAGGACACTTAATATCCTCCTCTGCCATCTGCATCCACATGCACAGGCATGCACATGAACACACTGCACTCAAACATACATACACACAATAAATTATCTTTTAAAAAAAAAAAAAACAGGTAGCGGTCCTGACACAGTATTTTCTTGTTGTTATTGTTTAAGATTTATTTATTTATTATGTATACAGTGTTCTGCATGCCAGAAGAGGGCACCACATCCCATTACAGATGGCTGTAAGCCACCATGTGGTTGCTGGGATTTGAACTCAAGACCTCCGAAAGAGCTCTTAACCTCTGAGACATCTCTCCAGCCCTAAATTATCTTTTTAAATGAAGAATTGGCCTGGGAAGATGGCTTGGAGGGTCAAGTGCTTGCTGTGAATGCATGAAGACTTAAGTTCGGATCCTCAGCACCCACATAAGTCAGGCACAGCAGTGCACGTCTGTGACTCCAGCATTTGGGAGGGGATACAGGCAGATTCCTGACACTGGCAGGCCAGTCTCGCAGAAAGAGCAAACTCCAGGTTCTGTGAGTGAGACTATCTCAGAAACTAAGGTGGAAAACAACTGGGGGTGATGATAACTTTACACTAGCCTCGGACCTTCACATGTATCTATGAGTGAGCAAACCCATGAACACACATACACACACACCAAAGAAAATAAAACTGGGAGAATTTAAATGACTGAGGGATGGACAGAACCTACAAATGATATACAGTCAACTCCAGGACAGCTCAGCAATGTCAGTGAACAACCTCGGCTAATCTTACTCGGATAGGAAGTTCTCTGTTGCAAACCTGGACCCGTTTTATTTGAATGTTTTTAGATACAAGTTACAAAACCATCCATAAAAGGGGTTCAGGACAGCCAAATACAAATCTAGAAGTCCACAAAAATGCTGAAAAGAGGAAAAACAACTCACTACACTGTATTCTGAATGCTTTTTAGATACAAGAGGACAACTGGCCCAGCTGACTGATGGATCTTTAATAAAACACTACTGGAGGCTGGCGCTCAGCTGGAGAACACTGGAGTAACAATGCAGGAGGCCCTGGGTTCCCACAGAGCACTGCATAAACTGGGTGAGGTGGCAGCAGCCTGTAATCTCAGCACTTGGAAGGTAGAGGGTTAAGGCTAGCCTCAGCTACATAGTTGAGACACTGTGAGAAGGAAAGTGAGAGAAGAGGAAAGGAGAGGGGGAAACAAAACAAAACAAAAAACAAACAAACAAACAACCACCCAACCTCCTGGAGCCAACAAGAATCTAGGTGTTCACTGAGCTACAGCGTCAAGGGAGCACCACCCAGTACTCTGTCTTCATAGCAGCATCCTGTCACCTTCAGCTTACCACAGTCACTATGGAGAAGAAATCATGGGCTTGCCTTGGAAACAACAGCAGCTGCCTAAACTTCATCCTCTGATACCACAGACAGGCCCACCAAGTTGACTCGGGAGGCGCCATAAGCTTGCCAATGACCACATCTAGCCAGCCTGTGGTGCACTCTCCCTGGGCCCTCTTCCTTCAGACTTAACTATCATGGAGATGCTCCTGATTCAGGTGGACAAAACAAACAAAAGGACAAGTTATCTCTAATAATGCCAGTGTCTCCAATACCCAGAGCTGGGTTGCCGCTGCACATCCTCAAAGCAAGTCTCGCTGTCTGAGAGCCCAGATCTGCATCTCAGGAGCTCACCAGCAGCCTTCCCAGGGACAGAGACTTCCTAAATACAAGGTTCTTAGGAAGAAACAAAACGGGCTAAGAGGCCCACAGCCCACATCATTCCACAAAAAATCCACACCTGTCTCTAGGGCTGGGACTCAAGCTAGGGCACCAGGACACCAACCAGCCTCT